GCGTTGGAAGCGGTGGAAGAATCGTCTAACGGCCCGTCTACACTACAGGCATCGAAAAATCTTGAAGCTGGGCGTGTCTGAAGCTTGGCGATTTTTTGCGAGCACCAACAACCAATCACATGAATCTCCCGCCCCCGACATACAAAGCAATAGCAATGTTAAAACGAAGTAAACTGGATATAAAATCCCCAAACAGGCGAAAACCTACCAGTTTCACCCACTGTCTCTGCCACCTCCCTCCATGCCTGGTTCCTCCGGTTTGTATCCCGGTAAATAGTTCTGGTCGGAAAGAACCGGGTGATTTGCTACCGTAATTTCTCGTTTGGAATATGAGGAAATGAACTGCGGTCTGGCTCTCCCAGCTTGCACGCGGTTTGATTGGCTAGCGCTTGTACTGGCGGGAATTGCAAAAACGGGATTTGATTGGCTGACGCCAGCTTCGAGCAAGCATCGAGCCTCAAAAGTTGAACATTGTTCAACTTTTGACGCCGATAGACGCTCGCGATGCTTGCAACGCCTTGCCATGCTACCCACAATGCAGTTCGGCGAAGTTTGAAAATATCCTACGTCACCCCATTCAAATGAATGGGCGAAGCGTTGAAAGCATTTTTTGACGCCTGTAGTGTAGACGGGCCGTAAAGCTGCTGTGTGGACGGGCCGTAAGTCAACATTTCCCAGAGAGCTTTCTTTGAAATCACCAAGAAACGCTAAAAAACACAACATTTAGATTGTATGACAAAGTGTTTATTTAATATATCTGGCTAGCTATAGCTACTTGCTAACGGTTTAGCTTACCCGCGCGATTCAAAGTAACGTCAACGTAGCTATAATGTATGCTTTGCTTACATGTTCGCATAACTTGTAAGTTTACTGACAGGTACATACCTTGTTCACCTGGCTCAGGTGGTGGCTCTGGGGTTGTTGTGTGAGCCACCACTTGAGAATTGCCGTCTTTTTTATTAAAGAAATGTCTAATGTCCATCTTCAGAATCTCCGCGTCCGGGGCTGACAGTTTATAGTTTAAACATTGTCACAGAGGAGAGGTACATACCTGTCAGCCAATAAAACACGTTTATTTACATGCAACTGTCTGATTGGTCTGGTGGCGTCGCCTTGCCTCTGTGTTGCATTCACTGAACATGGGAAATTACAATTCTGCCGTCCGTCCTATAGGTAAAGTAGGTTAATGTATTACATTATTGAGGGAGAATTTGTCCGGGGCTAAAGAAAAAACATCCGGGGCTAAAGCCCCGGATGCCTACCCCAGGCGACGCCCCTGGGGCCAGCGGCCTTACGTGTGTTTGTCCTGCTCAGTTCAGCATGCACATCTGTGGTGGAGAGTGTGAGGGGCAGATGGTCTGCAGGGAGAGTGGCCCTAGTGGCTACCTCATGATTGACCCTGTCAAAACGAGCATACAAATAATTAAGCTCATCTGGAAGAGAGGGGTCAGTGGACGGGGGGGAGGCCCGGGTGGGTTTGAAGTCTGTGATGGTCTGTAACCCCTGCCACATGCGTCGGGGGTCAGAGGTGTTAAATATATAATATTTATATATAAATATATTATATTTGTTTGCTGTTGGTCATGAAATTGCTCCTGCTGACTTGAGCCAGCCATTTTTTCCTCCGCTCTGTGTCAGTGGGGAAGCCGTACATTCGTACTCCTTTCTCTGAGCGATTTGAGCATCCCCAGGCAGCACAGCAAACCATGGTGGCGACTAGGAGGCAGCACAGCAAACCAGGACAACACGGAGGAAAAGGCACAGACAAACTGCATGATATGCTATTCAATGTTTATTGAATTCCATGTATTTGCAATGGATGTTCCTAAAACAACACATTTAACATCATCATCATCATCATCATGCTGCTGCTGCTAGTCCTTTGATAGTCACCTGTCGGTCTCCTGTCCTTTCTGAAAGCCATAAAGATGACATTAGTCATTTAGATAACTTGTGTCCTCAATTACCATGGTTACTGAAACTACCATGAATTTAAGAAAATGGTAGACATTAATCTAATCTGAATTTTAAAGCATTACTTTAGATCCCCTCCCTCTAAATATATCAATAAACATTAGAAAGTGATGCTCCTGATCAGTGTGAGAAAAAGTTTTTAGAGAGTACTTGTCCATGGACAAGTGAGTTTGGCAATTTACTTGTCCGAATACATTTTTCACTTGTCCAAAATGGACAAAAATTGGGGCCACTGGAATCTTCTTCTTCGCCATCGTATTTTTCCACGTTTTTTACGACACCGCTAACGTAAGTGAGCGGTAAGATTTTACTGCATCACACAAAGGGTTGGGTATCGTTTGGATTTTAACGATTCCGGTTATGCTTTTCGATTCCGGTTATTTTCGGTTCTCGATTCCGGTTCTTTGAGAGGGTCAAAATAAGTCCCATGACAAACAGGGAGAAAAATATATTTATGAAAACATTAAGTCAAATCTGTATTCCTATTTACAAATCACTTCATACTGTTGAATTTCTTACGGTTATTGAATAAAATATATAAAAATAATCTCTGCATTGTTTAGTTAGTTCTAAGTGGTGCAGTTTGAGAATGTACAATTGGCCCAGTCTCCTCTGAAGTTACACTGCAACCTGCCTGTGAGACAGAGTCCAACCACACATGTCCAACACATAGGCCTAATAATAATAATAATACATTAGATGTATAGGCCTAGCGCTTTTCTACAAATCAAAGACGCTTGCACGCTTACACATGTCCTGCAATACACATGCTGCAGCTGCCCAGCTGCTCACTGTTTGTAAAAGTAAATAAATAGTATTTTCATTTCAATAATGTACTTTCTATACCCTGCTTCATAAACAATACTGACATCCCTGTGCTCCTCCGAGTCTGGGGGTCCGGGGATGTGAGGACAGCGCGAGGACACAGACAGGGAGGCTGCTTTACTTCATAAGGAAATGGCGGTCAATATTAACAACACAGGAGCTAAAACGCTTAATAACCTTCATTACGTGTTAGAGAAAGAACATAAGAAAGTTTGACAAAGATGAGGCTGTTAAATGGGCAGCGAATCTGCTGTGTGTAGATAGAGAGAAAGACGCTGAGCTGCACCGTGCAGCTGATACGGAGCATAGAGAGAGAGAGCTGCAGTCCGCGGGGCTCGGCCTCGCCTCCTGTCCTCACAACTCTTATTAATCCCGGTACTGGACAATTGTTATTTGTTCTTACTCGGAACCGAGTTTTGCTTCCCAACCCTGCCACTGTGCTACACGTCGTCGTTCTTATTATACATCCATGGTCCCGTCCCGCCCCGCCCCCGTCTAACAGTAGGCCTACAGAAAGCGGCGAGATGCATTTCCTGGGGAATCGACAAGCAGAACCGAAACTAACATTTCTAAACGAACAATGGCGGACACGGACAATTTGCGAATGAATTCTGCCTTTTGTAAACTGAATTTATCAATAATTTGTCAATAAATTAGGGCGAAAAACGTCACTTGTCCACCGGACAAGTCAATTGAAAGATCTACTTGTCCGATATCGTAAATAACACGTCCCGGACGGTGGGACATGTGCTTTTTCGCACACTGCTGACTACCATACAAGTTTAAGAAGATAATATTGGTTTTAAAGAATTCAAAGCTATAAATAAACAGCAACAGGCTCTTTAACCAAGGCACTGTTAGCCTAACATGTAAACTAGTTGTTCACACTAATCCTAATATTATCACTTAATATTAGCAAATTCTATTTTATTTATTGAAACATATTGATGTAAATACATACACATATTGATTTGTTGTATAAATATTGCAAATCAAAACCTTTATTCACTAATAATTACCAAAAATCGTAGTTCTATCTCCTGTTATCAATGCATTCACATTGCCCGCCATGAACTTCCGGGGAACGATCCTCGTCAACATGAACGAACCACGTGACGATAACCGTTTTTGGACTTCCGTTGTCGTAACTCTTCTATCTATATGGCGCTGCAACACCCCATCTGGCGTCACAGAGATCTTCTGTTACTGTCCTTTCTTCTTAGAGGAAGTTCAGAAACACGTAACTCTGGATTTGTTTTAATGTTTGAGGTGCAATAAACGACACAGCAGCTTTCTGGCATGTTAAAACTATTATTTTCTGCCTCGCTCATGAGAGTAACAGCTGGAGAAATTACAGTCTCGCCTACTGATTTCACATGTGTGCTCTAAAATGATATTTACAAATGACTATTATCATTATTATAAGCAAGACAATAAATGGCAAAGATATGTAGAAAATAAACTTATTTAAGATACGTTCATAACGAACGTAACGTGGGAGAAAATACGTTTCGAACTAAACGTAATTGAGAATGCAGTTTAGTTCTGTGGGAACGTAATTTTTAGGAGACATGGTTGCACTCTACTAACTTACAATATAATCATTATTTTATTACAAATAGTTACTGCTTAACAATGTGTTCTCACACCATCGTTATCTTTTTTTATTTACGAGTGCGGGTTTTGATTTCAGCATTTATTACGTTTTTAAATGACCAGCTCATATTTTAGCTTTAATGTTCTGCAGAATTCTCCCGAAAAACGAGTAGAATATCCAGTTTTTTAAGCTTTTCAACAATGGATTTTCTAAATAATCCAGTAGGTTTAGATGTCAGAGAAACAATGATGTGAACAATTCAAAATGATCAAATCTAGAGATTTTTGAGCCACGGTTTTTAAACAGTAGTGTTCACACATCTTCTTCATCATCGAATTTAAGGACTTTGTAAGGACTTTACAGACCTAATTTATTTAAATTCATTCGTCAACACAACATATTTCCTGTTGGCTTAATCTCAACAAACGATGACACAACTTTGTGAGCCTCACATGCAGACAGATAGACTATTTACTAACGTCAAATATGAAATATATCAAAATAACTTGCCTAAACTAAATATATAAATCAATGCACCTTCAATGACCCATTTCTATTATGAGTATCAATCAGGCAATAGCACACATATGGAGAATCAACGGAGCAATGTTAACATGATTTATTAAAAGTGTATACATTACATTATGTATAAGTTATACAAATGTACAATTACATAAGGCTACAATTATTCAAAATCTAGATGATCAACACTTTAAATGCATACAGTACATTCTCAATCATGAAGAACTGCAAACATGACTTAGGAATAATATCTACCGTCAGGTTTTTATTTTAGTTCCTTCCAACAAACAGAGCAGAGGGTCAAAGAGGATCAATGCAGGCTGATAGTTAGACAGGCTGTTGTATTGATCAGACCAACATAGTGAGGCGTGACAGAGGGGGGAATCTGACACAGTATTGGATGCACGAGGCTGTGAGGAACCACTGACACGAATGACTGCACAGCATGATGTCAGAGAGCAGAAATACAATAACACTGTCTGTGTGAAGTCTATCTCTCAACACACACAACTAAACACACGCTGTGACTCAAATCATGTACTTCTGGATTTACATTTGCTTTCCAATAGGTGCTTTCACACCGGAGAACTTTTCCCAGAAATAGTTCCAATAGTTCCTGGGATTTTGCGTTCACACCAAAAAGATCTGGAACTAGAACTTAGTTCCCAGGAACCTTTTCACCCCTTTGTAGTCCCTGCTAGAGAGCAGGGGCTTTCGTGTGGAGAAAAAGGTTCCTATGTCTGATTGGCAAATTGCAAACCACGCCCCGTTTTAAGCCGCCATTTTATTTGCTCGCAATCCTTGCATTAGCATTATTAGCATTAGCATTAAACCCGCGCACCAACAGAGAGAGACTGGAGCGGTGGAGATGAGGAGGTGTCGGCGTTCTGGAGATTTACTCGGAAGGCTTCAGTAGAAGCTGCTGGGAGTCCCAGCAGCTTCTACTGAAGCCAGTCCCCAACTCCGGGGACTTCCGGCCGGGGACTTCGGGCGGCAGTATACGCCGTGAAGTGGTTTGCGGCCTGCCAGTAAACCCAAAGCAGAAGAAGAAGAAGTGACGTCAGCGGCTTCATTTGCGTAATCCTCCCTCTGGAACTTATTCCGGTGTGAACGCGATCTGCTAGAAAGTTCCGGAACTAAAGATTTCCGGGTGACTAAGTTCCGGGAACTATTCCTGGGAAAAGTACTTGGTGTGAAAGCGCCTAATGCAAAGTATGGCAAAATTCACTATGAGGTCCGGGATGGTGCACTTATAACTGTTAACAAGTTGGTGTGGAACGCTAGACACTTCTCTTAACTACCATCATTTTGGAAGTTACACAACCAGCCACGGTTCCTCTGATAAACACAGAATTATACAAAAAGACACTTTTTTTAGTAATTTACCACTATACTGTTGTTCAATACAAGCCACTGTTTATTTTATAGTGTTAGTTGAGCAGTCTTGTAATAGAGAAGAGCAGGAACGAGCCCTAAAAACCACTTACGGTTCTCTGGTAACTTCCGGGTTGGACTCTACTATTTGAAAACGATAACATTGTTAGATAGCTAGCTAACAGCAGCAATAGTCACAAATTCAATGTTCACAACTTCACAGTCAACGACATGGCAGTTTAGTAAGGGAAGAATCCAAATTGAGACATAGCAACACGGACATGTCAGAGAATTTCCCACTAATCCTCTTTGCAGGGTTGAAGGTGCTTGTGTTTCAGAAAGAGGAGTGGGAGGTCCGTCAATGAAAGGAGATCTGAGATTCCTTGCAGGACTGAGAGGAGCACATGGGTCCTGCAGCCAGGAAGGAAAAGGGCTTGAGCATTATGCGGACGATACACACTATTCCCTGCTAAACATTATACTCTGTCACGCTAACACTTAGATTCTGCTGAAGGTCATCTGTAAGATAATTAAAAAAATCCCGTCAAGGCGAGTCTTCAGCTCTGATACAGCTCAGATCAAATGATCTGATACAGAAAGTGGTTTTCAGTCTGACAAGTTTCTCCGTGCGTGCAGATATGATTTTGAGTTTTTTTATTGTGTGAGATAAGAAGTCAGTCTCAGGCACTGGACAGCATCGTAGACGTGAAGATCTGCTGCAGGATTTGGGGGATCTGTTTGGTGTCCATGGCAACGAAGGATCTGCCCGCTGGAAGGGTCTTCTGGAGTCTGAATGGAAACGGAAAGAAAAGATGGGAGGTTAAAAACAGAGACTGGCAACAGAAGCGTTTCAGAAGACAAAAAAAAGACGGACAAGAGCTCGTTTGTTGGGTGGATCGGTAGGTAGTGTGTGTGTGTGTGTGTGTGTGTGTGTGTGTGTGTGTGTGTGTGTGTGTGTGTGTGTGTGTGTGTGTGTGTGTGTGTGTGTGTGTGTGTATCTCTGAACTGTAGTGGAGTAGAAGTAGAAAGTAGCAGAAACTACCTCGTACTTGTAACTAAGTACAGTACTTGAGTAAATGTACTTAGTTACTTTACACCAGTGACAGATGGAGGTTGTGTGTGTGTGTGTGTGTGTGTGTGTGTGTGTGTGTGTGTGTGTGTGTGTGTGTGTGTGTGTGTGTGTGTGTGTGTGAGAGAAAGGGCCGCTACTAACATGAAGCAGTTTAGGAACAATATAACTTCTATTGAACAACTCACTACATCATTCTTTCCTTTATTCCATTACACCTGTCTCTTCTTCAACGTGTTGTCCACACGAGGACACACAGCAGGACGGACAGTCAACAGGGACACAAACAGTCTTCCCAACAGATGACCAGATTATTATGTAACGATCACCACTTGCTGTACTCTGTGCCTCAATTCGTACACTGTGAAAACGTGTGCATTACATGCATTTAGAGCGTGTACCGATATCTCAAATTGCATATAGCTGCTGTGACCACTGTTAGCTTGATAGCTAGCTAGTTAGCACAATATCATTTTCGATATCAAATCAGACTGCTCAATTAACGGTATCAAATTAACAGTGCCATTTCTTTTCGAGACCAGTACGGCAGTACGTTTATTAAAAAGTAAATAAAACACATGTACAACTTGTATTTTAAATAGTTTTGTGTTTTCCAGATACAATTATTTTACGCAGACAAGAAGGCAATGATACTGTGGAAGAAGTGAAACATGTTGGGCCGTTATGAGCGCAGCATCCAGGTCATTATAGCTCATTTAGCCTTACACGAAATTGGATGCACTCGAAACAGAAAATGTACTCGAAATGAGACACAGCATTAGTCCAGTCTTCTTGTCCTCTTTTCATTTACTACTTATTCTCCCTTTCATTTTGTTTTTATTCCACTTCCTGTCATCATTATCCGTATTCGGCGTATTATTTTTTTAACCCGATCACTGATTATTTCCTTCTGTGCTTATTTGAAGCCTTATTTTTGCCGCTGCCTATTATTTATTTAAATTAAACGGCCATTCATATCTTACTGTTATGTTCATTATTGTGTTTTATCAATGTTTTTATGCATTCGCTTTTTTTGTTTTTTGACACATGCTATTACAGTAAACTTGCCTTTAACTTATTTTCACCCTCTACCTAAGTCCACCAACCCTGTCTGCCCCTCCTCACCTCTCTTCTTCACCTCTTTCCCCTCTCCTCTCTCTTGTCTTCCTATTGCTGTAATCATTATCTTATTTGATCACTAATTCTTCATATTACCTCCTTCCTAATTTTCACCCTCTACTTTACCCACAACCTCATCTCCTCTTCCCCCCTCCTCACCTTTCGGCCTGATCTCCGAGGGATCCGATGAAGATGGCGAAGGCGTTGACCTGGGGGTCGGAGGTCAGGACTTGAGCGAATCTTTCGGGCCGGATGCCGTATCGCTCCAGGTTAGCGTCGCTGAGCACGACCACAAAGTGCTCGTCTGCCTCCTCCTTCACTAACTCCTTGATGCTGGAGTCTGTTCCCTCCAGAGTGAAGTCTCCACTCATGCAGAACTGAGAGTGAGCATGCATCGTCTGCAGAGAGAGAGAGAAGGATTTAGAAATCCTTTAGGCATCACAGGTGGAGACGTTTGGCTATAAGATGGAGTACCAGAGGCTTCAAACTCCTGTGAGGAATGCACTTAGAGGGTTATTCAACAAATATAACTATCAGAATGGCTATAAATCAGAGGAACATTTAAACGTATGCACAAAAACCCAATGTTCTAAGGCTGTCTTGCGGTTAATAAGGGAAAAAGCAGAAAGCAGCGACTCATGGGCTGATTTGAAAATGTATATTTGAGGGTCAGTTCAATAAAGTTACACACAAAAATTCAAAACATTTGAAAGATCTATATATCAGAGGAAACAACAACAACAACAACAAAAACAACTGTGAAATGTTCCAGTTAACTCGGGAAAAGAGGAAATAAATGCAACAATACCAAATGTGTGTGTGTGTGAGAGAATAACAGGTGCACAGTAACAAAGCAGACTGATATGAATCTGTACCTTGAGGACTTTGAGTCTCTCTTTGTTGTTTTTGGGGACTTTATCCGCTCTGACCAGCTCGATGTCGTACCCGTCGCCTGAGTGCCCCACGATATCGTACTGCGTGGAAAAGAAAACACTTGAATTAAGAGCAAAATCTGCCAACACAAAGTTAATATCACTGGTGGAAGTACTGTACTTAAGAAGTACACTTTAAAGGACCTGCGTAGAGTAAACTAAAACGTTAAGTAAGAGACACATCAACAAACACAGCACTAAGTTAACATCAGTGGTGGAAAATAGTAAATGTTCTCGAGTAGTGTACACTTAGGGTTATACAAGAATATAATCAAATATTGTCACATCCATCAAATTACTTCGCTGTTTCCGGGTAAGAAGCGTGTTTTTCAAAGTTCAAATCTTTTTGGACTATTTCTATTTTCACAGATAGATTTTTTGACATTTCCAGAAATCCCTTAAATATTGATATATGTGAAATATAAAAAACAATACATTTATAAAGACTTTTTTTTCCTCATGCCATCTCTATTTCACATCCATCCATCCAATCATATCGCTGTTGCCGGGTAAGAAGCGTGTTTTACGCATAAGGGACCAAGAAACTCCTACATTTAAAATATGAATATATTAAATTACGTAATAAGTTCAGAGTATTTTTGAAAACGCAGAGTCATTTTTCTGTTCCATTTTTAAGAGTAACGGCTGTAATAAAACTATAAATTGACAAGATCTTAACACTAATCTTCCATCATACCATCTTTACTGCACACACACACACACACACACACACACACACACACACACACACACACACACACACACACACACACACACACACACACACACACACACACACACACACACACACACACACACACACACACACACACACACACACACACACACACACACACACACACACACACGGGGTTAGTAGTGATGGTCTCACCTTGAACTTGTGCTCGTAGTTCTCCAGCCCCTCCATCACCATGCACACGGCCTCCATGGAGCGCTCCAGCCGTCTGTCCACTCCGTTGAAGCGGTACATGCTGCCGGAAACATCCGCTAACACCCGCAGACGCTTGGGCTTCTGCTGGGGACTGCCCAGCTGCACACACACAGAATTATTATATTTCTATTAAAACAATACTCACACTTCAAGAATGATCATTTACTGCCTGAAACTGAATTCATAAAATACTGTTAAATATGTCTTTATTTTAGCATCTGCCTTTGTATGTTTTTTGCGTCAGATATTTTGTATGTATTTATAATGCTTATAATATCTGTGAATATTGGAAAAGAAAAAAAATAAATTATAGACAGAAATAACAAACACAAAGAACAACATCTGTATCAACACACACACACCTCGGGGTCCAGCTCTCCTCTGCGTTTGTAGATAGCTTTCTCTCCGGTCAGTCCATCGATGATTTTAGCGTCGTCCAGTTCTCCCAGAGCCTGGTTCTTCAGCCACTGACGCTCCTTCCCTTTGGCCTGAAAACACACGCATCACTCCTCAGGTATGATAGAAAAGAAGATGACTTGGTATAATCTCCATTATCCTCACAGAGGGAAAGAAGCCCGGGGCTCAAAGGACCAAAACACACAATAAGCAACGTTCGTGTTCAAAGCCAACGGTGGCGTGGCTGCAAACACCTGGATGGAAAACACAAACACACACACACACACCCACACACACACACACACACCTACAAACACCCACACACCTACAAACACCCACCACAACATATTCAAATAGAGCTTCACACCTGGACAGAAGAATAATAGAGTGAGGCTCAGTGTCGCTGCTCTGTAATCAAAGTCACATGATGCAGGATTTTCCTCTCGTCACACACACACACACACACACACACACACACACACACACACACACACACACACACACACACACACACACACACACACACACACACACACACACACACACACACACACACACACACACACACACACACACACACACACACACACACCACACACACACACACCACACACACACACACACACACACACACACACACACACACACACACACACACACACACACACACACACACACACACACACACACACACACACACACACTTCCCCTCAGAAGCTCTAAACAAAGGGAGGAAAATCTAACCTTAATAATGAAATGGAGAAAACATCACATCCTGGATTTTTCCCACCACTCCCCAATATGGTCTTGCTTATCAGCCAATCAGGATGCTCCTAAGAGACCGCGCCCCCTCCTTCCTGCCCCACTGGGGGTTAGGTCAACTCATTGTTATCTACCCATTTTGATGACTTTTTATGTTCTGTCGGCCAGGTTCAACTTGTATTCCTTAATGTCGAGATGACCTAAAACTACCCCAGGAAGGAGGGGGCGCTGTCCCCAAGGAGCGTCCTGATTGGTTCAGAGAACAAAAAGCAAGAACCCAGGAAGTGATTTTGTCTCCATTTTATTATTATGGTTTAGATTTTCCTGTCTTTGTTTGAGCTTCTTTGACGAGATCGTGGCTGCTGCATGCTGGGTGTGTGTTGGACTGATAAAGTTGAACAACTTTTTTTTGTAAATTGAAAATGTACTATAAAATTAAAGGTAGGTAAGAATGGAGAAAGCAGCTCGAGTGCGCTAGAATTTGAAAATACACAACCGGAAAAAATCTGCCCCTTCCTTCAGACTTCCTCACAGAGCCCCTCCTCCAACACACACGAACGCGCACATGACCAATGAGGGCACGAGATCAGTTTGTGCACGAGATGGAAGGCTGACAGGCAGGTAGGCCATCCAGTTACTTTAGCCGGCTCAGATGATTGGTCGTGCTTTTTACAGAACCACGGCTTCCACTGATGACATTTCTTTATGTATTTATTGTCAAAGCATTTAATGTATTCATTGCTATCAGGATGTTTAGAGCATTCCATGGAATATAACAACAAGTGTTTCTGAAATAAGTTACATACCTCACCTTTAAGTGACTATACCATCATATGTTTAATATTGTCTTGCCCAATTAGCATGCTTAAAACAAGAGAACAATCCAAATGCTCACCCGTTAAAAAATCAATATAATTTTGTACTGTTTACACAATGTTTGGTATTTCTTGACACCTTAGTATCATATATGGTGTGAACAGTTGTTTGTTTGAGATGTTTATTCATCTCCCAGATGACAAAGACTTAGTAGAATCCACCCAAACATCTAGATATGAATGCTTTCTGTTTTGTCTGGTGTTTCTGTGCCGCAGTGTGTGATGCTGACCTGCAGGCTGTCCAGCACGATGCGCAGAGATTGGACCTGCCTGCTGACGGCGCTGGAGAACCGCTCGTACATAGCAGCGTCGTACTGACTCATATTGATCTCCTTCAGCCTGAGGGAAACACAAAGAGAGAGGAGAGGCACATGACTTCATATGTTTTTAGACTAAACACACATTGCATTTAAAGCACACAATATGTTGGATATGAGTTATCTGGACTCATCTGCTGAGGACTTCCCGATCACAGACAACATGGTTAAACACGTGCTTGACTTGTTGTGTCTTTCTTAAATGTTATGAAAGTACATAGCGGGTCTGCTGTGTTGAGGAGGATGAACATTCAGACATTTCTCAATGCTAGCTTCGGCCTTTACAGAACTCTTTCATAAAGGATCTGACGTAAGATTTCAAATACAAAACCTCCAAACCCAGGTCATAGTTGCTGCAGATTATCTACATTTATTGCAAACACTACAGGTTTTCCAAAAACAGGCAAGTATTTAAATACAACCTTCTGACGCTTCTGTGGAAAATAACAAATGCATTTTTAGGATAAATTCAAAGCCTCTACTTGTGCTACTGCCAATATCTGCTTCCTGATTTTCCAAATAAGGTCAGGTCGATAGAGGAAGAAAAGTAAAAAAAAGACAGAAAAAGGGCTTTATGAGCTTTGGACACCTGTAGACAAACAAGAACACTGACCTATCGGTGTGTGTGTGTGTGTGTGTGTGTGTGTGTGTGTGTGGGTGTGGGTGCGTGTCTGTGTGTGTCTGTGTGTGTGTGTCTGGTTGCATGAGAGAGTCAGATGGATGTATTGTGTACACACAAAATGTGGGTGTGTGTGTGTCTGTGTGTGTGTGCGTGTCTGTGTGTGTCTGTGTGTGCGTGTCTGTGTGTGTCTGTGTGTGTGTGTCTGGTTGCATGAGAGAGTCAGATGGATGTATTGTGTAGACACAAAATGTTATGTCTGCAATGAATGTCTAAGTTAAGCTAAACTACGTCAAATTATATAAATGATGGATAATACACTGGAAGAAATAAGAATTGGAGAGCCACGTACTGAAACATTAGATATGACAAAAAACAAACAAAATACTGTAAATGTTTTCGAAGACCAGCACTTCCTGTTCAGTCAATATTAAACAATTTTAGCACATTTAAATGACGTTTTAAAATAGTTATGTTTACATTTTATATCTTAGATTAAGGATCTTAGAACAGCTTTACTTAAGGCTGAGTTATTTTCATTCATTCACATCACACCTTGGAATGTGTGCAGGAAGTCACTGCTGTGGGCTGTGTGTGTGTGTGTGTGTGTGTGTGTGTGTGTGTGTGTGTGTGTGTGTGTGTGTGTGTGTGTGTGATCTACCGTTCTTTGAAGGCTTTCTCTCCCATCTCGCGGGCTGCTTTGCGGACCTCCTCTGGGATGGCGTCTTTCTCAGCCTGGGACACCTGGCAGGAAACATCACAGATCAAATCCCCGCTGAGACACTTTCTGCTCCGATGTCTGCTATAAAAGCATTTCATGAGTTAAATCTGAGCCCCGTCCTCCTTCCTGAAAGTTGTGATTTAAGCAGTTTACATCAGAATAAATACATTTGGGTTTCAGGGTGTGACGTTTAAGGTGGAGGGGGAAAAGCTGACTATAGCTCGTATCCTTCAGGCATGATCGATCGTCTGAGACGTCATCAAAGAGGTGAGGTAGACCGTTCTCTGGGTCTCCTTATTAGATGTATGGTGGTGGGAATAGCTTTAAATTCCAGTTGGTTCTTGACTTGACTGAAGTTGGGATCCCTCCAGAATAGTGTCTCTTAACTTAAGTTAACAGGGATTTCAGTTATTAGTGGAGTCCCCCAAGGCTCAGTTCTTGGCCCTCTATGTTATTATCTTTGGCTCACAGTATTGTTATATTTGTGAACTGATTGGCTTCTTACCTGGTGGACTTTGTGTCCTGCATCCAGCCGGTAGGGACCTCCTTTCCCCCCGAGCCCTGCCGTATCTCTGCCGCCTGCAAGGGAAAGTCTTAGTGATGAACTCACTCCATAAAGTGGCATCAAGTTGATTTGTTTATACATCAAATCTGCAGTTTTTTATCCCACTCAACAGTATTTGTAACCTTTTTCATCGTCATGTATTCCTGCATTTTTACTGGCAGCTTTATATCCCTTGCAATATCTTCTCCTTGCACTTTCTTATACATGTTATCTTTCATGTCTTAAGTATACTGTAACAATATAATAATGTCCCATGTAAAAAGAAGGAGATCTGACCAAAGGTGATTCTTTGAGTTCTGAGATTAATCTAAGATTCTGACGAAAGACATCATTGAATCTTGAACCAATCACATTTGTTTAAAGCACTTTTTGTCTGCAACCGTGGAAATCTAGCTTTTTTCCAACTATTTATTGAACTATTTAATTATTTTGTTTTAGATTATCATTAGATTCTTGTTTAACTGATAAAATGCCCTGAATTTCCTGGAGCTCAAGGTAATTTCTTCAAGTTTAATATCATTAACAGTGAAGAACAGATAAATATTGATAAACAAAAAGTATGCTAAACAAGTGAAACTATAAATCATAATCACAATTATTGTCTTTTCCAACTATTATGGACAAACACTAATCCAAACCTTTGATTCGAAGGAAGGGAGACTGAGTGCCTTGCCCAGGGGCAATAAGCACTTCCCCTCTCTCATATCTACACTTCCTAACATGCCATCAATCATAGTGATGTGTGTGTGAAGTTTCTTCACAGATTGCAATCACCATATGGTGGATTTAAGGGATTCCTGCGTGATGCTGAGTCAGTAAGAGATGGCAGAAGTAAACACATCCTTTACTCAAGTAGAAGTACAGATACTCATATTTAAAAATACTCTGGTAAAAGTAGAAGTACTGACTAAACTTCTTTACTCAAGTAAAAGTAAAGAAGTATGGGCTTTGAAGTGTACTTCAGTAAAAAGTACCCATAACTAGCAGCTGTTTTAAAGAGTACCTGCCCTCCCTTTATATTAATAGAACAATAATGTCATTGTTAGCTAATGAATGTTTCCATGCTGAACAACGGCAACATGACAACGTTTCCATTGGTCCCTCTTCTTTAGAGAAGACCAGGAAATGATGGATACACGTATCGTGTTCAAATCAATAGGCACGCAATGACTCTAAAGAATAATGATCATGCATCAAACACACATTCAGACTAAAGGAACCAGCTGTTTGGAAAATGAGAGAAGTAGAAAGTACAGGTATTTGTGTTCAACATGTAAGAAGTAGAAAGTACAGGTATTTGAGTTCAACATGTAAGAAGTAGAAAGTACAGGTATTTGAGTTCAACATGTGAGAAGTAGAAAGTACAGGTATTTGAGTTCAACATGTAAGAAGTAGAAAGTACAGGTATTTAAGTTCAACATGTAAGAAGTAGAAAGTACAGGTATTTGAGTTCAACATGTAAGAAGTAGAAAGTACAGGTATTTGAGTTCAACATGTAAGAAGTAGAAAGTACAGGTATTTGTGTTCAACATGTGAGAAGTAGAAAGTACAGGTATTTGAGTTCAACATGTAAGAAGTAGAAAGTACAGGTATTTGTGTTCAACATGTAAGAAGTAGAAAGTACAGGTATTTGAGTTCAACATGTAAGAAGTAGAAAGTACAGGTATTTGTGTTCAACATGTAAGAAGTAGAAAGTACAGGTATTTGAGTTCAACATGTAAGAAGTAGAAAGTACAGGTATTTGAGTTCAACATGTAAGAAGTAGAAAGTACAGGTATTTGAGTTCAACATGTAAGAAGTAGAAAGTACAGGTATTTGAGTTCAACATGTAAGAAGTAGAAAGTACAGGTATTTGTGTTCAACATGTGAGAAGTAGAAAGTACAGGTATTTGAGTTCAACATGTAAGAAGTAGAAAGTACAGGTATTTGTGTTCAACATGTAAGAAGTAGAAAGTACAGGTATTTGAGTTCAACATGTAAGAAGTAGAAAGTACAGGTATTTGTGTTCAAAATGTAAGAAGTCAAAGTAAAAGGTCCTCTGAAAAATAAGTAGTGGAGTACTTAAGTACAGTAACGAGGTATTTGTACTCCACTACTTCCCACCTCTGAGAGTCAGTCAGAGTCTCTGTACCTGTGCCTCCCGCCCACTGGTTCCCTCCGACGTGAGGATCGTTGTTTGCGTCGATCTTTCCGTGTTTCGGGGCACTGACATCCAGACCGCTATCCCTCTGGATGGTGATCTGAGAGGAGAGGAACAAGAGAGGCGGTCAGTTTTCAAACGGTAGTTTTATTATTATTATTTAATTTAATTGTATTCAATTGTATTTATTTATTTTAATTAATTAATTTGATTTATTTATTAAAAGTTTGAAAAAGACTGACTTTTTCACAAAATTTGAAATAAGTCAGACATTTGACTTAGAATTCTTATAAATATTTTTTTTTATTTTCAGTTGTGGAAGTCAATTAAAAAAAAAAGTCAGAATTTTTAATTTTCTGACCAAAAGTTTTTGGGTTTTGAGAAAAAAGTGTTCATGAAAAAGTCAGAATTTTCAAAACTTCAAACCGGTCAAAACCTTGACTATTTCTTGAGAATCTCTGAGCTTTGACTGGGTTGATCTTATTGGCGGATGGGCGTTCAGGGGTGTAGCATAGCACAATTCCATTGAGGGATATAAGTGTGAATAAAATAATTTAAAAATAAATCCTTGAATGTATGGAAACCAGTGGAGTAAAGATAAAATGGGGGAAATGTTCTTGTGTTTACGTGTGCCATTTAAAAGCTGTGCTGTTACATTTTACACCAACTGCAGACAAGTGATGGAGGAGCCACTAACCCCTATATAAAGTGCATTACAATAATATAAAGCTATCTTTGGCTCTTTGCTGTATCAATTTAACATTTCCCCTCTGTGGTCCCCTCTACTAGACCCCTTTATGTTATTAATATGCAACCCAGTCTCACGGCATTTCGTGTTCACCAACACGATTTTTAATCTATTGATTCGTGTTCACCAACATGATTTTCCCCTTTTTTTCGTGTTGCATAGCACGATTTTAAAAGCAATGTATTTCTACTGGTAATGATGTTCATGGAAGCACGGCATTCGTTTGCGTCGGCTGCCCTTAAAGGCAATGTGAGCGTCCATTCTCATTGGATAACGGAGAATTGTACACCCGGAAGTAAGTATTCCCCTTACTGTCGATTGATTTTACAGTGATATCTGCACTACTCATCGACTAAAAAACACCAGATTATCCTTGTTAATTACACAACATTGATTGGTTTAAATTGTGTGCAATGCTTTTGTATTTTTCCCCTTCGATTCGGAGAAACAAATGTTTTTTCGGAGTAAAGGATAGCAGAAGACACTACACTACCCAGAATCCCCTGCTATCGTTTGGACTACACCATGTGCTCTGTTTGACAAACCCCGTGATAGTCCTCAAGCTCTATGATTGGAGAGTGTGCTCCGAGGGTTACGCCGAGCCTCGAACAGCACTTGAAATGGGATGGAACCACGGCAGACTGTCCAAAACTGGATTTGAACGGGTCCACCGTACGGCGACGAACCGGAGTCAGGTCGAGACCCCGATGAAGACGATGAGCATGCAGATGAACTTCCCTGAGACGGTTTCTGACAGTTTGTGCAGAAATTCTTTGGTTATGCAAACCGATTGTTGCAGCAGCTGTCCGAGTGGCTGGTCTCAGACGATCTTGGAGGTGAACATGCTGGATGTGGAGGTCCTGGGCTGGTGTGGTTACACGTGGTCTGCGGTTGTGAGGCCGGTTGGATGTACTGCCAAATTCTCTGAAACGCCTTTGGAGACGGCTTATGGTAGAGAAATGAACATTCAATTCACGGGCAACAGCTCTGGTGGACATTCCTGCTGTCAGCATGCCAATTGCACGCTCCCTCAAAACTTGCGACATTTGTGGCATTGTGCTGTGTGATAAAACTGAACATTTCAGAGTGGCCTTTTATTGTGGCCAGCCTAAGGCACACCTGTGCAATAATCATGCTGTCTAATCAGCATCTTGATATGCCACACCTGTGAGGTGGGATGGATTATCTCGGCAAAGGAGAAGTGCTCACTATCACAGATTTTTAATATTTGAGAGAAATGTTTATTTTGTGTTTATAGAAAATGTTTTAGATCTTTGAGTTCATCTCATGAAAAATGGGAGCAAAAACAAAAGTGTTGCATTTATATTTTTGTTCAGTGTATATGGCGCTGGCTAAAATAAGATAACTTTAACAAGATGCCTGTGTGCTTAGTACCAGGTTGTTATCATACCAGCAATGGGTCTTGCTCGTTCTTTCGCTTCCCGTCTGATGAAAGGACCAGGAGTGGCTGGATCAAGTTAGCTACCTAGCTAGTAGCTAGCACGTTAGTTAGCATTACAGCCTTGTCATTTGTATTAGTCTTAATATGAAGTAACATTAAGTAACCCAAATGTTAAACAGCAAGAGTAGTAGTCATATTTCGTGAACCCTTTGAAGAGTAGCCAACTGTCACCGGTGTGATCATTCTATAATACACCATTTAAGCCCGGGGGAGAAATGCTAACGCTACATTAGCATTTGCGATCTTTTCTACTTCACGCTATCTGCACAAATGGTTGACATTAAACATTAAAAAGACCAGGCAGTTCAGAGAGAATCAGAGGAAGGCAGGCAGCTTTGCATGACATTCTTCTGGACGTGTTTCATTGTGGTGATAGTGAGGGTAGTCAATCCTTTTGTTGACAAGACAGTAGTGACGGCCATCTTGGTGACGTGTGTTGTTCTGCGAGACCGGAGATGTAGTTCATTCAGCGTTTCACACAAACAAATGTGTTACTTCACAGTTTTACGACACATTTGTATTTTTTTGACTTGCAAAATTATCTTTTAAATCGACAAACATCATATGTGTAATTCGTGGCACAATTCAGACGGGATCGAAAGATAATCTTTCTCTCTGCATTGACTTCAATACATAATTTTTTCCGAAATAAGGTCCCATGGAGGTCCACCGGAAGGGGAGGGACTTCGCCACTATTTGAAAATGTAATACATCAGTGGTGATGTACTGTGAGGAGAGAATGCACCCCTTGGTGGTGGTGAGAGAAACTGCAGGCTGCAAGCATTTCTAATTATCATCCAAATCTCTCAACTCAGTGATTCAACAACTTCTAGATCAACCATTTAACCCGTGGGCATCACTAGGGACATTTATGCTTTCACGCTTTCTTAAAACATTTTTAGGATGTCAAAATCTTGACTTCTGACTCTTTTCTTTCAGAAGTTTGAAAAAAGGCTACATTTTGAGTATTTGAGAGAAAAAGTATTTTTCCGTAAAGTATTAGGTTAGTTTTTATATATTTGTATCCTCTCAAGACATCAGTGCAATTTTTTTCAGCACGAGGGTAACGATTCCCAAACAAAGTAATATTCCTACCTGTAAAGGTCTGCCGTCCTCCGTCCCAATCATTCTTATATTTCAATTATTTTGGTCAGAAAAAATGATTTTGGTCTGACAAGTCAAAATCTTGACTTCTGACATTTTTTTTCAGAAGCTTGAAAAAAGTCAAAATTGTGACTCTTTGACCAAAGGTGCATTTTTGTTTAGTTCTGAGAAAAAAGTCGGAATTTTGAAAATATTAGAATTTTGACTTTTTTCATAATTTTGAGGAAAAGTCCCAATTTTGACTTTTTTCTGAAAATCTTAAAATTCTGAGAAAACAAATATTCAGACATTTTTGGGGGAAAATGTGAACATTCAAAATAAATCCATCTTTTTTTCAGAAAATCAAAAAATTCTGAGAAAAATAAATAAAGCTAACCTAATATTAGATATTATTATTATTATTATTATCCACTTAAACTGAGTTAAATCTTTATACCAATTTTCGTCCTGATCATAACTACCAAATACTCTTCAAATACCAGTCTGTGTACATCATGTAATTATCTTCTAAAGAGCACTTTCTTTTCAGTTAACTTTAGCACAAGGGTAACGATTCCCAAACAAAGTAATATTCTTACCTGTAGAGGTCTGCCGTCCTCCGTCCCGATCATGTTCCTCCACTCCATTAGAGAGCGCTGCAGGTTGTCCAGTCCCGTCTCCCAGAGTCTGACGTACCCCCCCATATCCACCGTGACCACGCCCCCTGACCCCAGATCAGAGAGCAGCACGTCCGACTCCGACACCTTGGACAGCCAGCCGGTGTACGGAGACACCGTCACTGACCTGAGGAGCACAAAGAGGAAGGGGAGTCAACACACTGTCACAAAAAGGGCATCAAGACCAGGGTTGGAGTTATGTGGGAGCTTCCATAAAAGGAGGGTCTGAGCGCCTATGAAAGCAGTGAAATCATACATCTGTGTGGGTCGCTAATACATTACCAACAACCATTATTTTAATCACAAATAATGCATTTTTCAATGTAATGAGTATTATTTACGTTAACGAGGTAAACAGGCTAAAAGAAAAACATGTTTTCCAAACGAACTCCATGGTATTGTCTCTTGAATGACAATATGCCTGCAATTCACCTCCAATGTGTATAAATATCACCCTTTATTTACGTTATTACCCGGCTTTTATTGATATATATATCTCCGTCCCTAAGGTTACCCATTCATCTCAGATTATAACTCAAACCTCAAGACTGTCCCTAATTGTGACATTTAATCTTTTCTCTAATGTGAACTTTGATTATTTTTTAAAGATGTTCTCTCTGGGCTTTTCCTGCTCTTAAAATGATTAGAATCAGAATCAGAAAACCTTTAGGTCCCACAGCAGGGAAAATGTTGTGTTGTTTCCCCCAAATTGACGTAAATTGGTCAGAAATGTTATGAATTGCGGTGAATATTTTCATTTAGATGAGCCGGTAAAAATATGATATGTAACATGAAATAAGGCTAAAATCTTAACAAGTGACTTGCACAGAACATCCCAAAACACGTTGTCTCTTGACAAGATACATAATGTGATTTGACGCTACTATGTATCCTTTTAATTTGAGATTTTTGTCTTGTAAATTTACAATTTATGTAAAACAATATTACACAAAGAGGTAGGGGAATTAAAACACAGTAAAACAAGTAATAAAAAGGGCATCAAGACTGTCCCTAGATTAGAATTGTCTCTAATGTGAACTTTTATTGCTTTTATACAATATATGTATACAAAAAATATATGTTCTGCCCGGGCTTTTATTGGTTTAACATTTTAAAATGAAAGAAAAAAGTATTTTTTCCCCCAAATTGATATAAATTGGTCAAAATCGCAGTGAATATTTTGATTAAGATGAAAAGGTAAAAATCTGATATCCAATAGTAAATAAGGCAAACATGTGACTTACAGTACACAGAACATCCAGAACAATTATGTTCTGCCTGGTCTTTTCTTGGTTTAAAATGATCAGAGAAAGAAGTTATGTTTTCCCCCAAAATTGACGTAAATTGGTCAAAAATGTTATGAATTGCGGTGAATATTCTGATTTAAATGATAAAAGTCAGTTATCCAATATAAAAAAATAAGGCAAAGAACTAATTAAGTGACTTACACAGAACATCCCAAAAAATAAATGTTTTTGGACGATTTGACTGTTTTTGGGAGTTTAATCTCAGAGACCTTTTGATACATCTTTGCAAATACTTGATGCTATTATCTCAGAAAAAATATTGTATTTTATTTCCTTTTAATTTTGAGATTTTTCTCTTGCAAATTAAGAATTTTAATATCAGTCTAAATATTCATTGATATAATATTTGCATATATTTTTGCGTTATTGGATTTCTGATATGAGCAAAAGCTGTATTGCACTTTTTTGTAATGACAAATATTACACAAAAATATGTTTAAAATAGTCATTTGAAATAGGGCTGTGCAATTAATCGTATTTTAATCGCGATTACGATTATGGTTTGTGACGATTATGAAAACAGCATAATTGACAAAATACGATTATTTTGCTGGGTGCGCTTTCGCCCCTCCCTAAAAGCCCACTCGGCCACGTGGGAGTGACATGTGTTGTGAGTGTTCAGCGCAAGCGAAGATGTCAGAACAAGAGCAGCAACTCGTTAAAAAGAAGGGTCGCGGGGAGATTCCCAGTCGATCGCGAGATGTGTCTAAAAATAGAACAACAATATTCTGTTTTATCGTTAATGTCCTGTAACATAATGTTCCCGTGCCAGAATAATGCACTTGAACGCATCAAAGCTTTGTGATTGGCCGGCCTCACCCCATGTGTCCGGGCGTGGCTGGTGAGCAGTGCACTAGTTCGCTGACGTTGTCCGTGTCAACAGCATGGATGGTCAACAGGAGTGACAGTCCGCACACACACAAGACCGCAATTATGGCAGAAGCAAAAAAGCCCAAAATATATAACTTTCACTCCGAGTGGGAGGATCATTATTTTTGTATCTATTCCAATTCAAAGTCCATCTGTCTCATCTGCAATGCGAGCGTTGCTTTATCGAAGAAGGGTAATTTAGGAGCGGCATTTCAAAACAGTGCACAAACGCTACGAGACGGAATTCCCTCCTGATTCTGCCCTACGCTCCAAAAGGGGAGGGGCCTGAGAGCACAGCTAAATGCACAGCAGTCCATTTCCACCAGGCCCAACAACAAGAGCAAGGCTGCTACCAGAGCATCTTATCATGTCAGTCACGTTCTTGCGAAACACATGAAGTCTTTCAAAGACGGCGAAGTTGTGAAAGAAGCTTTCCTGGAGGCTGCCGACGCGCTTTTGTGGGACAGTAAAAATAACAGAAGCATTTCAACAGGTTTTTGATCTAATAAAAACTCAATTTAGATACTGTTATTAATCTGCTGTAAGTTTTAGTTTGTTTGAATTTATTCATGATGATTATTGTACAAAATGGTATAAGAATGCAAACATTAAGATCTGTTCTGTTTAAATTGATTATAGTCTATCAGTTCAGAAGCTAGTGTTGCTAGCATCCTATTTTAAAGGCATTTCTTTTTATACTCTAATAAAATGCAACAAAAAAAGGGTTTGATTCTATTAATGTTGTCTTTTTTATTGCACTGTTGTTGCAGCAGATTACTGTGTAGCTTCAGATCTGAGTTGTCTTATTAGTAAGCCTCATTTATACTTTTGTAGCAACACTATTTTTATATAATGGCAAAGAAAGGGTTCTTCAGAGTCTTTTCTTTTTTTCCTGTGTCATATGTGGCAGCACTGCCACAAGTTCCTCTTCAGAGAGGGTCTTCAGTACAGGTGGCAATATTGTCACCTGCCTGCGCTCATCTCTGAAACCAGACCATGTAAACAGGCTGGTATTTCTTGCAAAACATCTTTAAGAGATGACATGAGCAGCCCTACCAGCATTTGCCATGGTGGCCTAAACATTTTTATTTGGTCTTAAATTGTAGTTCAACATTTATTTCCTGTTACTTCTGGACCATGACGGTTGGCCAGCCTTCAACGTGTAACTGAGTGGAATATGTTGAATATGTTTTACCTTAATGTTGGCTATATGTTAAGGAGTGTTCAGTAGGTTGTGACAGTGCACTGCAACATGTTTGATTTCATTTATTTTGGTCTAATTTATTTTTATTTATCATATTAATATATGTTTAGTATGGTTTTGGAAGTGCGCTCCAACATATTTATTGATCTTGTTTATTGGTAAAATATTATTTGTTTTAAAGTTCAATAAATGGTCAATGAATAATCGTCAAAATAATCGTGATATCAATTATTGACCAAATAATCGTGATTATGATTTTTGCCATAATCGCACAGCCCTAATTTGAAACTTTAAAAGCATCATGAGACAATATATCTCTATGCAATGCTTTCTCTGCCCACTAGCTGGGGCTAGAGGGTTCAAAATGATGTTCTTATTATTATAAAGTATTATAAAAAGTCAGAGTAAGACACAGTGGGCCACAGGATGGGTGTGTTTACCTCGGGACGGGAATATATTTCACTGTTTTGGAGTTCAGATCAGTCACCTCCAGGTACGCCGCTGTCATCGGGGGAGTGACATCTGAGGGACGAAATCAGTTTGAATACATCTGTGACTGCACGATTTGCATGTCTGCCCGATTTGCAATGCGTGAGTTGATCTGCCGTATTGGACCGCTACGTACGGCAATCCAAGTGGGACATTTGACAAAGCTGCGTTTCGTAAAGAAGAAAAAAAAAAACGACCACATTAATCTGAACGAGAGAGATGAGTTATTGTTTCCCGATTATTTGAGAGGAAATCCTTTTAGTAGGTTAAGTACATTCTTAGAATAATAAATGAGACATGGAAAAACAAGAAACTGTAAATATATGCAATCATGTATGGCATTCATAATTAATATCTAATTCTTAACTGAATTGTTTTCATTTATTTAACATTAGAAATGTACTTTCATAAAAAAAGTTGATTCAAGAACAGAACTCTGTTATTAGATCCGTACGGACGTCAAATGTCCTGTTTGGGTTGCCGTACGTAGCTGTCCAATATAGCAGACCAACTCGCGCTTGCGCAGTGCAAATAGGGCAGACACAACATCTCCTAAACACATTTTTCTGAGCTCATTTTGTATGATCTGATGATGACCTCTGACCTTTGGGGTAGACCTCCTTCAGGGGCACCTTGTTGGGGGGGAGGGCTCGGACCACCTGATTGGCTGAGAGCAGACTGACACAGTTGTCCCGTTTGGGCGTGCTGGACCTGAGTCCGCCTCGAAGTAAGGTGTTAGCCCCGCCCTCAGCAATCCTGACCTCTGATAGGTCAACAGGCCTCTTAAAGCTGTACACCTCATTAGGGGACTGGATGAGAAAAGAAATAAAATAAAAAATCAAACACACACTTACAGTAGCTTAGCTGTGAGTGTGTGAATATTCATGAGTGCATCTCGAGCACCAATACTAGATTAGACCCCACAATTCCCCCCTCATGTCCTCCTATAATCCTCACCACGAGGTCTGGGAAGCCCACGACGATCCGAGCGAAGGAGCCGCTGTCGGACAGGATTCTGTTTGGAGAAACGATCTTCTGGTCCAGAGCGGCGCTCAGGTTCTCGTTGGGAAGCTGCTCACTGGACACCATCTGGGGAACAGACTCCTCCGCTGAGAGGGAGGGAAGAGGACAGACAGAGCATGATGGAACAGAGAAAACAATCATTATTACTGAAAGGTCCCCTATTATACTGTTTCTCATCAATATATCACAGGTCTCAGATATATACAGAGCCTGTCTCTGATTGGCTGAAACACCAAACAGATCATTGCAGCATTACCCATAATCCCCTCTGTTTCAGCCCTGTTTCCAAAATGCTGATTCTTTGTCTGTTACTTTAGATGAAAATAAGGAGCCCCTCCCCACGCCCCACTGAGAGACATTTGGTTAAAAAGAACACATTAGCCGCGTTCACACCGGAGTACTTTTCCCCGTACTTTTCCCGTTTAGTTCCGTTAGTACACCTTATGTCGCGTTCACACCAAAAAGAGTACTTAGTGCAGAGAAATTTTACCCCCATTTTTAGTGCCTGCTAGAGAGGTGGTACTATCCTGGGGGGAAAAAGTGCCCCAGTTCTGATTGGCTGGGACGAATTGCAAACCACGCTCCGTAAAACTCTGAAATGTTTTGTAGAGCCGCCTTTTTATTATCCTCGCATTAGCATTATTAGCATTAGCATTCGCCCCGCGCACAAACGCAGAGAGACTAACTTATGGCAACACAAAAGAAGACATGGGAGCGGTGGAGATGAGGAGGTGTCGGCGTTCTGGCGATTTACTCGGAAGGCTTCAGTAGAAGCTGCTGGGAGTCCCAGCAGCTTCTAATGAAGCCAGTCCCCAACTCCGGGGACTTCCGGCCGGGGACTTTGGGCGGCAGTATACGCCGTGAAGTGGTTTGCGGCCTGCCAGTAAACCCAAAGCAGAAGAAGAAGTGACGTCAGCGGCTCATTTGCGTAATCTTCCCTCAGGAACTTATGCTCTTTAGTTCCATAGGGGAACTAAGTGCTGGGAACTAAGTATGGCAAAGTACTTGGTGTGAACGCGGCTAATGGTGCTCTAGGAGGAGATTCAGGTGATAAGGAGGGGGGGGGGGGGGGGGGGGGGGGGGGGTTACCTTGGTTGCTGATTGGCTAATGGTTACTCAAGACAAAACATCGTTATGACATCATAAAGTGGCCAAAATCTGATCAGCTCATTTTCAGACAGGTTTTTATAGAAATAGATCAAAAAGAGAGAGAATCTTTGTTCCTAAAACTTTCCACAGAGGGGACACATGTTGATGTAGAAGAGACATGAAGAAGAGGGGACACATGTTGATGTAGAAGAGACATGAAGAAGAAGGGGACACATGTTGATGTAGAAGAGACATGAAGAAGAGGGGACACATGTTGATGTAGAAGAGACATGAAGAAGAGGGGACACATGTTGATGTAGAAGAGACATGAAGAAGAGGGGACACATGTTGATGTAGAAGAGACATGAAGAAGAGGGGACACATGTTGATGTAGAAGAGACATGAAGAAGAGGGGACACATGTTGATGTAGAAGAGACATGAAGAAGAGGGGACACATGTTGATGTAGAAGAGACATGAAGAAGAGGGGACACATGTTGATGTAGAAGAGACATGAAGAAGAGGGGACACATGTTGATGTAGAAGAGACATGAAGAAGAGGGGACACATGTTGATGTAGAAGAGACATGAAGAAGAGGGGACACATGTTGATGTAGAAGAGACATGAAGAAGAGGGGACACATGTTGATGTAGAAGAGACATGAAGAAGAGGGGACACATGTTGATGTAGAAGAGACATGAAGAAGAGGGGACACATGTTGATGTAGAAGAGACATGAAGAAGAGGGGACACATGTTGATGTAGAAGAGACATGAAGAAGAGGGGACACATGTTGATGTAGAAGAGACATGAAGAAGAGGGGACACATGTTGATGTAGAAGAGACATGAAGAAGAGGGGACACATGTTGATGTAGAAGAGACATGAAGAAGAGGGGACACATGTTGATGTAGAAGAGACATGAAGAAGAGGGGACACATGTTGATGTAGAAGAGACATGAAGAAGAGGGGACACATGTTGATGTAGAAGAGACATGAAGAAGAGGGGACACATGTTGATGTAGAAGAGACATGAAGAAGAGGGGACACATGTTGATGTAGAAGAGACATGAAGAAGAGGGGACACATGTTGATGTAGAAGAGACATGAAGAAGAGGGGACACATGTTGATGTAGAAGAGACATGAAGAAGAGGGGACACATGTTGATGTAGAAGAGACATGAAGAAGAGGGGACACATGTTGATGTAGAAGAGACATGAAGAAGAGGGGACACATGTTGATGTAGAAGAGACATGAAGAAGAGGGGACACATGTTGATGTAGAAGAGACATGAAGAAGAGGGGACACATGTTGATGTAGAAGAGACATGAAGAAGAGGGGACACATGTTGATGTAGAAGAGACATGAAGAAGAGGGGACACATGTTGATGTAGAAGAGACATGAAGAAGAGGGGACACATGTTGATGTAGAAGAGACATGAAGAAGAGGGGACACATGCTGATGTAGAAGAGACATGAAGAAGAGGGGACACATGTTGATGTAGAAGAGACATGAAGAAGAGGGGACACATGTTGATGTAGAAGAGACATGAAGAAGAGGGGACACATGTTGATGTAGAAGAGACATGAAGAAGAGGGGACACATGTTGATGTAGAAGAGACATGAAGAAGAGGGGACACATGTTGATGTAGAAGAGACATGAAGAAGAGGGGACACATGTTGATGTAGAAGAGACATGAAGAAGAGGGGACACATGTTGATGTAGAAGAGACATGAAGAAGAGTGGACACATGTTGATGTAGAAGAGACATGAAGAAGAGGGGACACATGTTGATGTAGAAGAGACATGAAGAAGAGGGGACACATGTTGATGTAGAAGAGACATGAAGAAGAGGGGACACATGTTGATGAAGAGAGAAGAGACATGAAGAAGAGGGACACATGTTGATGTAGAAGAGACAGGAGAAGAGGGGACACATGTTGATGTAGAAGAGACATGAAGAAGAGGGGACACATGTTGATGTAGAAGAGACATGAGAAGAGGGGACACATGTTGATGTAGAAGAGACATGAAGAAGAGGGACACATGTTGATTGATGAAGAGGACATGAAAGAAGAGGGGACACATGTTGATGTAGACGAGACATGAAGAAGAGGGGACACATGTTGATGTCGAAGAGACACGAAGAAGAGGGGAACATGTTGATGTAGAAAGGACATGAGGAAGAGCGGACACATGGTTGATGTAGAAGAGACATGAAGAAGAGGGGACACATGTTGATGTAGAAGAGACATGAAGAAGAGGGGAACATGTTGATGTAGAAGAGACATGAAGAAGAGGGGACACATGTTTGATGTATAAGAGACATGAAGGAAGAGGGGACACATGTTGATTGTAGAAGAGACATGAAGAGAAGAGGGGACACATGTTGATGTAGAAGAGACATGAAGAAGAGGGGACACATGTGATGTAGAAGAGACAAGAAGAGAGGGGACACATGTGATGTAGACGAGAATGAAGAAGAGGGACACATGTGATGTAGAAGAGGACATGAAGAAGAGGGGACACATGTTGATGTAGAAAGAGACATGAAGAAGAGGGGACACATGTTGATGTAGAAGAGACATGAAGAAGAGGGGACACATGTTGATGTAGAAGAGACATGAAGAAGAGGGGACACATGTTGATGTAGAAGAGACATGAAGAAGAAGGGGACACATGTTGATGTAGAAAGACATGAAGAAGAGGGGACACATGTGGATGTAGAAGGACAGAAGAAGAGGGACACATGTTGATGAGAAGAGACACTGAGAAGAGGGGGACACATGTTGATGTAGAAGAGACTAAGAAGAAGAGGGACACATGTTGATGTAGAAGAGACAGAAGAAGAGGGGACACATGTTGATGTCGAAGAGACAGAAGAAGAGGGGGACACATGTTGATGTAGAAGAGACATGAAGAAGAGGGACACATGTTGATCGTAGAAGAGACATGAAGAAGAGGGGACACAGTTGATGTAGAAGAGACAAGAAGAAGAGGGGACACATGTTGATGTGAGAAGAGACCATGAAGAAGAGGGGACACATGTTGATGTAGAAGAGACATGAAGAAGAGGGGACACATGTTGATGTCGAAGAGACACGAAGAAGAGGGGACACATGTTGATGTAGAAGAGACATGAGGAAGAGCGGACACATGTTGATGTAGAAGAGACATGAAGAAGAGGGGACACATGTTGATGTAGAAGAGACATGAAGAAGAGGGGACACATGTTGATGTAGAAGAGACATGAAGAAGAGGGGACACATGTTGATGTAGAAGAGACATGACGAAGAAGAGGGGACACATGTTGATGTAGAAGAGACATGAAGAAGAGGGGACACATGTTGATGTAGAAGAGACATGAAGAAGAGGGGACACATGAAGAAGAGACATGAAGAAGAGGGGACACATGTTGATGTAGAAGAGACATGAAGAAGAGGGGACACATGTTGATGTAGAAGAGACATGAAGAAGAGGGGACACATGTTGATGAAGAAGAGACATGAAGAAGAGGGGACACATGAAGAAGAGACATGAAGAAGAGGGACACATGTTGATGTAGAAGAGACATGAAGAAGAGGGGACACATGTTGATGTGGAAGAGACATGAAGAAGTGGATTTTGCATGATAATGACCTTTAATAAAAAAATGGTGTGCCTGTAATATCTCTGGTGAAACTCATATTTCTTCTTAGATAACGACTACATTCACCTTCCTCTGTGAGGTCTTCTGTGTTATTGCAGTGACTCGTGAACTTCCTGGTTTAAATTGTTGGCCGTTACTCATGACTTCACGTTGTGCTCTCAATAACTGTGACATGGAGCAGTATTAAAGTTTGATAGTGATGACATGGCTCCCTTTATGGTTTTGGTTTTGACTCCAGGGCAGTTGACAGATTGTCAGTGCGGACATACTGTATGGCCGCCCGGGGCACCAGTGTATTCTCCTTATGTCCGTCTGCTTGATGTTATTAAAATACATTATGTCTTTAATTAGAGCTGGATATAAACGTAAGAGCCTTTTTAATGTTTGCACAGAGCAGAGGGAGGATCTGAGGCATAGAGCAGATAACATATATGCCATAGGCATAGCATAGGTCTGGACATGTCCCGTCCTGCACATCAGAGGCCATGCCCAGTTTCCACAAATACGGGTATGGAGAAAGTGTCTTTAGGTTTTTCTGTCCTGTTTTGAGCATAGAAACACTGGCTGAGAGGGAGCAAACTCGAGAGGGGTTTTCTCCCCCTAGTAGCTCTCCTGGTAAAGCTCTCTCTGAGAGCTGGGTTTTTCCTCGGTAAGGTTCTCTCAAACTTGGTAAATATCTCTCGAATTTCTTTGTTGAATTCTGAGCAAATGTATTTGTTGAATGCTGATGAATTGTGTGTTGAACGATTATAACCCAGCCACCTATGAGGATGGTCCTCTGGATTGATGCTGGACATAGGTGTGTATAAGAATTGATTTGTTGAATGAACGTTTGAATGTGCTTTTTATTATCACCGGCCTTTTATGAGGAGATGCCTCTAAATTCTGTCGGACGATTTTAAATGTCACAACTGAATTGGGCAGTGGAAGTTACAATTTACTGTAATAAATGTAAGACTGTGAATTGAGGTTTCATATTAGTAATTGACGACAGCATGAAATATTCTGTATGATTGTCATGTTGTAACGAGAGAAGGTAAAACCCTGTTCAAGCGTGGACCAATTTTTCTTCAAATAAACTGATCCCACCCTTTGGATTGGGACAACTGAAAAGAAACCTGCGCTCTCCTCTCCTGCTTGAAAGGTAAGATTGCACACTGCCCCACTCACACTTAGGCAGGGCCACATCTCATTACTGATATCAAAAATCCTTCGGGATCGCTTAAACAGATTTAGCGGGTCGTCTGAATTGAAACAGCAGTTAATTGAACCTGGTTCTTCAGGAGTTAATAGAGGTGAGATCTTGCTGATGTTGGTGGATCTGAGCCAAGCAGTAAACTTACATGGACTCAATAACATCTGTTAGGTCAATTAGTAGGTCTGAGTCATTTGCCGGAATAAATTAACAGCCCTCCCGACTCCGACACCATCGTAGGGACATCTTCAAGTCTTCATCTGCTTCCACTATTTATTTAATTTTTACTTTATTATTTGCCCTTCTTGTTTGTTTGTTTGTTCACACCATGTAAAGCGGCCTTGGGTCCTTTTTAAAGGCGCTATAGAAATGTAATATATTATTATTATGATGACATCCTTCTGGTTGTATTCACCTGAGCTGGCTCCATGTCCCTGGCACACTCCGTCCTCACTGAGGCTGTGAAGCTGACACACTCCAGAGTCCTCAGCCCCCATGTGCATGAGCTTCGTCAGCAGGAACTTCCTACACACACACACACACACACACACACACACACACACACACACACACACACACACACACACACACCACACACACACACACACCACACACACACACACACACACACACACACACACACACACACACTACACACACACACACACACACACACACACACACACACACACACACACACACAGACACACACACACACAACCACACACAATACACACACAGACACACACACACACCACACACACACACACACACACACACACACACACACACACACACACACACACACACACACACACACACACACACACACACACACACACACACACACACACACACACACACACACACACACACAGTAAAGATTCTGCACTGACCCCCCCACCTTCAAAGCACTTACCAAAACACACCTCTTCAGACTGGCTTTTATTGTGTGAATTATGTTGTGTTGCTGTTTTAATATTTTAATTCAACTTTTTACATTTTATTGTATTTCCTTTTTATCACCACTGTATTTGAGCACCTGAAAAGGCGCTTAGAAATCAAATGTATTATTATTATTACAGTCTTAATCTATCCAACCATGTTTAAAGTGTATTTTTTCTGCTTTTTACTGACTTTGAATGATGTGTTCTTAATGCTTTCAATGTTTTTGTTGTAGTAAATGTATCATTAAGTCTCATTTAAGTATAACTTCCTTCTCTGGTTGGATTTTCCCGTGGTTTGAATTCACATCTAGCTTCTAATTCTCACTTCCTTAGAACAGACAGAAGGCTGTCTCTTCGCCCCTTGGTAGGATTTATATTAGATTTGTAATGTATGCAAGTTTCAAGCGTCTGGCCAACACTTCCTGTAATATATACTGTATGGCTGAGACCTTCCCCTTTCCTTGCTTTTGAGAGTATAAAGTGTTTGTATTTTCTGTTGTATGTGGTCAGATTTCTTTAGCACACATTGGTGCAGGTTATCTGTCCTCCCAGCTGGAAATAAGATGGATGCTGTTAAATGCTATAACTCTTTATTAAATAACACAACTTTGGTTTAAGCTTGTATATTTGTTCTTTTCTTACCAGAAGGTGATTACTGTAAGAGAGGGATTTCCAGCACAGTTTATACTTTGAATTGCCGTATTGATAAAGCCCCTCAGAGAGATGTGTCTGACTCACTTGTTGGAGTTGCTCTCCTGCAGCAGCCAGCGGTCCTCGGCCACCAGGAAGACTGACTTCAGGTTCACCGGGAGAGAGATGGTGTGCACACTGCCCTCCAGAACATCCAGCACATCCAGCTGGTTCCTACACACACACACACACACACACACACACACACACACACACACACACACACACACACACACACACACACACACACACACACACACACACACACACACACACCACACACACACACACACACACACACACACACACACACACACACACACACACACACACACACACACACACACACACACACACACACACACACACACACACACACACACACACACACACACACACACACACACACACACACACACACACACACACACACCACACACACACACACACACACACACACACACACACACACACACACACACACACACACACACACACACACACACACAGAGATGAATACCAGCGCGTGACTGAGATTGGGCTGTTTCTCTACTTTAGATCCCGTCACTCACCCGTCCTCCTTATAGAAGAGGAGCCAGTTTTTGTGGGAGAAGTCGTGACACATTCTATGTCCTCCTTGCTGAAAAACAACAACACACACATTCACTTTTAAAACACTTTTTGGGAAGCACATGTTGTTTATTTTCATACTGTGAACATTGCATATTCCTCTGTATGTTGTGACCATGTCTGCAAACCATTACCTCGTTTAAACGGCACAGCTCTTCCTCTTTAAAGTCTCATATAAACTGCACATAGTTAATTATTAAGAGTGAATTGTTATATTTTCCTTGTGCTTAACCTTTTTGTATATTTTTTATATATCTACTATTATTTTTGTAGTTTTATATCGTACAATATTTGCTCCTTTTGTACCACTTAATTCCTCTTACTGTGTTTATGAATGCACCGTACACACCAGAGCAAATCCCCTCTATGTGTAAACCTACTTGGCGTTAAACCTGTTTCTGATTCTGGAAATGTTTATCACATCTTCATTGAAACAAACAACGTGAATTGGACATTCTTAATTTAAGAATTTAATTTAAGAGTTGTGTAACAGTGTGACCTCTGACCTGTGGCTCCTTGCTGCTCCACCAGTTGGAGGCTCTGCTTTGGGGCTTCTCGTCCTCTTGAGAGAGGAGGAGTCTCCGCACGGCGCCCGTCTCCATGTCGATGTGCAGCACCGTGTTGGTCTGGAGGAGGAACACATTCAAAGAAAGTGGAGGGTAAGTTTCAGAGGAAGACTCAATTCAGAGTAGTTTGCTATAGCAGCGGTTCCCAACCTGTGGGCCGCGAAGGCATTTGCAAAACATTATGATTTGTGTGGAAACATTTAATTATTAAGATTTGTTTTTCTTTGAACTTCCTTTATTTTTCTCGATCTTCCTTAGCAACGGTCATTACAGTCCTTGACAGCGGTCTGTTCTACTGGGTTAACAACGTGTCACATGTTCTGAATCGACCAATCAGAACTTTATTTAGGCTCCGTATTGTTTATGGTAAAATGTGAGCCGCGAACATTTTTAAGATTCTTAAGTGTGCCCCGAGTTGAAAGAGTTTGGGAACCACTGTGCTATAGAATTCATATATGTGTATACCCCAAGAAAGCAGAGCTATATTCTGTGCAGTATATGTTGATATATTATTTAAAGTGGACCTATCATGCTATATTTGAATAATATAGTGTAGGACCATACCTATATAAGGTATATTTATACTTTTTATTTTTCAAAATACCAAACAGATCATGCATTTTAGCCATTCCTCATTTCGCTCAATTTAAAACAGTCTTTGCACGGGCTGATTCTGTGAGAACAGAACCATCTACAGGCCTGGCATATGTACTACAGCGTCTCCAGCACTTTCGAATGGCAATGTCCGTGGCTGTCTCCTCCTGATTGGTGGAGTTGGCCCAATAGCCGTAGCGCCACTTCTGTGACATCATAGAAGTGTTCAAATCTGTATCAGTCTGTGTCAGATCCGTTGCAGCCCCTTTTTAAAAGATTTGGGTATGGAGGAAAAGAGAGAGGGTTGTGTTTTCTGACACCTGGTGAGTTCCCTGGAACACCGGGGACACATATTCATGTATACAAGACGTACAAAAGTGCATTTTGCATGATAGGTCCCCTTTAAATACCATCATGATTTTGATTATCTTTGCAAATAAAGCGGTCAAATACATTCGAATAATAATGTAGCACTGTGTTGCTCTGGAGGGAGAACGATTTTAAAGAAAGCGGAGGTTAAATGTAAGAGGAAGACTCAATAAAGAGTGAAATGTTAATATATCAAAATATGTGTATACCTCCATAAAGCAGACCTATACTCTGTACAGTATATGTTGATACTTAAATACCGTCATGAGAAAAATCCAAACAAGCGTGGAAACAGATTCCTTTCTGAAAGATATGGAGTATGGCCTCGCATGACATGAAAATTCGGATTATTTGAGAGCATTCAAGATAGCCATATACTTGTACATCATTGTATATACCCAAATAAATATAGATAGAATATGTATAACTTATTTAGTTATTTAAATGCAGTACACAGCTCTGGGACGGCTTGTATACATTACATTTGTGTACATGACATGTCACTTGTTAGACGCTTTTATCCAAAGCGACTAACATACTCATACAAGGACGTTTTTGCTTGTACGATGTGAGGGTCTAAGGACAGAGGGTCTAAGGACAGAGGGTCTAAGGACAGAGGGTCTAAGGACAGAGGGTCTAAGGACAGAGGGTCTAAGGATAGAGGGTCTAAGGACAGAGGGTCTAAGGACAGAGGGTCTAAGGACAGAGGGTCTAAGGACAGAGGGGGTCTAAGGACAGAGGGTCTAAGGACAGAGGGTCTAAGGACAGAGGGTCTGAGACAGAGGGTCTGAGGACAGAGGGTCTAAGGACAGAGGGTCGTAAGGACAGAGGGTCTGAGGACAGAGGGTCTAAGGACAGAGGGTCTGAGGACAGAGGGTCTAAGGACAGAGGGTCTAAGGACAGAGGGTCTAAGGACAGAGGGTCTGAGGACAGAGGGTGTCGTTTTTCTCATACTGATACTCTGAACAATCTGTGCTGTTGTATTTGCTGTAAAGTGTCTCTACTGTAGGCTATTTTTATTATATGTTCAGAACTTTGGCTCCACCAAAAATCGTTTATAAATGTGCTTTATAAATAAAACTTGATTTGATTTGATTTGAATACTCAGGGACACAACGACATGTTGACTGCAGTGGGGTTTGAACCTGTGCCCCCCTGATCAGAACACCAACGCACTAGCCCACTGCGCCACAGCCTCCCATATACATGTTTAGGATTTCTTTAAATGTACTGTTGTGGCTTAGATGACAAACTTTTTTTTTTACCATTTTCACAGCGACACGTTCATTAATAAAGTAATAATTTCGACACATGGCTTTAGTTTTTTGCTCCAATGCACGGCTCTGTCTGGCTACCTCGTGTATATTTTCTTAGTTTACAAATGTGCATTTCAACATCCATCTCTCCAGTTAAAACTCAATGACTGGGTTGCACTGACGTTTTGACAAATTAGTTAATTATAGTCAAATTCATATTTTGGTAAATATCTCTCCTGCTGTGTTTAAACTATTAATAATGCAATATCATTTGAAACAAAGGTTAAGTGTGTCTCATGTCAGATCAGTGGATAATAAATGAATGGTTTCTTAGCTTTACAACCACGAGAGGGCGCTCTTGTCCACATAGATATGAGTTATCTAAAGTAACTTGAACACTGCTCTGTAACTCACTTTAATGCATACATACTGTCTTTATGTGCCTCTGTGTTTACGAGCTTCCTATAATTTTTTTGGATGAGCATCAGGATGCCTCGGTGTGTGTGTGTGTGTGTGTGTGTGTGTGTGTGTGTGTGTGTGTGTGTGTGTGTGTATTTACTGTAAATATATAGAGTGTGTGTGTTGGCTGAAATGTGTAAAAGGTTTCGCTTGTGACGCACAACGCTTCTTCTTCAATTGAGTTTTATGAGCAACACACTAATGGTTTCCTTATGGCCTCCTATTCCTGACATACACACACTACTGACGACAAGCGCTGCTCTTCAGGGACGGCAGACCCCATTTCCTGATTCCAAACATACTCTGTCTTCTGAGGGAGAGTGTGTGTGTGTGTGTGTGTGTGTGTGTGTGTGTGTGTGTGTGTGTGTGTGTGTGTGTGTGTGTGTGTGTGTGTGTGTCCTTGACCTGGTACTATTATGTCCATGTAAGATTTAGGTATGATGAATGAAAGCCACTTGAAGTTAAAAGATAAATAATAAATGATAAGTTACTTAAAATGGCAATAAATGTAAATAAATAAAAGTACAATTAAATACAGAACTATACACCATTACTTTTAATAGCATTTTAGTTGATTTATTAAGACGTTTATTTCGTTTTTGTATTTTAGCGGCTGCCGTCTTCCATATTTGACATGTATGTGTGTGCATGCATTCATGTGTACATTCCTGGTAAAACCCACACCCTCATGTGTGTGTGTGTGTGTGTGTGTGTGTGTGTGTGTGTGTGTGTGTGTGTGCAAGTGTGTTTGTGTGTGTGTGTTTATGTGTGTGTGTGTGTATATGTGTGTGTGCAAGTGTGTTTGTGTGTTTATGTGTGTGTGTATTCATGTGTGTGTGTGTGTGTGTGTGTGTGTGTATGCGTGTGTGTGTGTGTATGTATACAAGTGTGTGTGTGTGTGTGTGTGTGTGTGTGGATGTATGTGTGTGTTCATGTGCGTGTGTGTGTGTGTGTGTTCATGTGTGTGTGTGTTCATGTGTGTGTGTGTGTGTGTGTGTGTGTGTGTGTGTGTGTGTTTATGTATGCAAGTATGTGTGTTCATGTGTATGTGTGTTTATGTGTGTGTGTGTGTGTATGCGTGTGTGTGTGTGTGTATGTATACAAGTGTGTGTGTGTGTGTGTGTGTGGATGTATGTGTGTGTTCATGTGCATGTGTGTGTGTGTGTGTGTGTTCATGTGCGTGTGTGTGTGTGTGTGTGTGTGTGTGTGTGTGTGTGTGTGTATGTGTGTGTTTATGTATGCAAGTGTGTGTGTTCATGTGTGTGTGTGTTTATGTGTGTGTGTGTATTCATGTGTGTATATGTGTGTGTGTATTCATGTGTGTGTGTGTATGTATGCAAGTGTGTGTGTTCATGTGTGTGTGTGTGTGATTTTCCTGGAAGCCTGATGACCCATGAATGAACTCTGTTGTCTGGACCTCTTCATCTTTATGATCCGTCACTGAGGTATTTTTAGATTTCCCCCTGCTCTTGCCTAATAAGCAGCAGCTGTAAAAGTGATCTGCTCGGAGAGAACCATCTCCAACACACACATTGTTTCTGGCCTCTGAGTCGCAGCACAGGGTCCTACGGGGTGAGAGGCAAACAACCGCAGCACAGGGTCCTACGGGGTGAGAGACAAACAACCGCAGCACAGGGTCCTACGGGGTGAGAGGCAAACAACCGCAGCACAGGGTCCTACGGGGTGAGAGGCAAACAACCGCAGCACAGGGTCCTACGGGGTGAGAGAGGCAAACAACCGCAGCACAGGGTCCTACGGGGTGAGAGGCAAACAACCGCAGCACAGGGTCCTACGGGGTGAGAGGCAAACAACCGCAGCACAGGGTCCTACGGGGTGAGAGGCAAACAACCGCAGCACAGGGTCCTACGGGGTGAGAGGCAAACAACACGCAGCACAGGGTCCTAGCGGGGGTGGAGGGCACACGCGCACAGGGTCACGGGTGAGAGCAAACAGCCAGCACAGGTGCCTACGGGTGAGAGGGCAACACCAACGCAGCACAGGGTCCTACGGGGTGAGAGGCAAACACCCAGCACAGGGTCCTACGGGGTGAGAGAGTCAAACAAACCGCAGCACAGGGTCCTACGGGGTGTGAGAGAGGCAAACAACCGCAGCACAGGGTCCTACGGGGTGAGAGGCAAACAACCGCAGCACAGGGGTCCTACGGGGTGAGAGGCAAACCAACCGGCAGCACAGGGTCCCTACCGGGGTTGAGAGGCAAACAACCGCAGCACAGGGTCCTACGGGGTGAGAGGACAACAACCGCAGGCACAGGTTCCTACGGGGTGAGAGGCAAACACGCAGGCACAGGGTCCTACGGGGGTGGAGAGGCAAACAACCGCAGCACAGGGTCCTACGGGGTGAGAGGCAAACAACCGCAGCACAGGGTCCTACGGGGTGAGAGGCAAACAACCGCTAACCACCGGACATTTTAAGAAACTAAAACGGACTTTTGCGGAGCTATTTTAAATCTGTGAGGAATCTGTGGTTGTCTTTCAAAATAAGGTTTAAATACCAGCGTTGCTAAAGCATCACGTTACATGTTATAGTGGCCAGTAAACAAGGACATTCCTTGTGTGTGTGTGTGTGTGTGTGTGTGTGTGTGTGTGTGTGTGTGTGTGTGTGTGTGCGATGTGTGTTTATGTGTGTATGCAGATGTGTGTGTGTGTGTGCAGTTGTGCTTAAACCAGGACTAATTTGACTTGTTTGGTGCTCCACAAAACTCAGTTAAAACGGACATCTGCTCGTGTGCTCTCTTGTGAAGAAGGTCATGATGGCCACTGTCACAGACATCACTTCTTTTTAAAGCTATAAGTATTTTCAGTAGTTTTGTCATGGGATTACTTGATCCAGTGATCTCTATGTTTTAAAGGTACCATGTGATTGTCCTCATTCCCATAGAACCTGTGCAGAAGGATGATGTGATATCATCTGCTCCGGGCAGTCCCAGTTTAGTGTCCGTGTCATACTGTAAAAAGTAGCAGGTATTAAAAAACCTTTCCAAGCATCAGAGCATATTTGATTCAATAATCAAAACCTAATGGAATAGTCGATTGGCTTTTGGTCCAGAAAAACAAACCAATACGAGGTTTAGGCTCCGCCTCCAATAATACTTCATCCCAGCAGAACTCTTCTGGGGCTGCTCGACACACCTTCCTTATTAAGCTGATTTCTGAATAGGGCGGGTTACTTCCTCTTACAATATACTGACGTTTTTGTGTGTGTGTGTGTGTGTGTGTGTGTGTGTGTGTGTGTGTGTGTGTGTGTGTGTGTGTACCGACCTGCTCCTCGTGCAGCACCACCTGTCCGTCCAGAGGACTCCCGAGCGGGGCGATGGTGATGAACGGCTGCCAGGTTCCGCTGATGGACCGCGGGAAGACGTCGTAAAGCTCGATGCTCTGGATGGTGTCGCCGCGCTCCTTCATCGAGAACAGAGACACGGGGTTACACGTGGCCACGTACACCACATCTGCAAAACAAAAAACAGAGGGGATTGTGGGATTATTACTTAAACTGTGCTGTGTGTGCGTTTATTTAAAACGATGTACAGTTATACACTTTAACCACCAAACGTAGCAGAATGGCGGTTTCGGAGGACAGATGTTGCAAAAATCAAATATAAATCAATTAATTAAATGATAAATATATAAAATATGCAAATAAATGTATTGTTTTGTATTTGTGTATTTTCTCCATATATCTTCGTTTATTCCTTTCAAATATATCCACTGGACATACCCAGTGATGAACGCAAGACCTACGAATGTGTTGCATGACTGTGTGGATAGTGTGTGTGTGTGTGTGTGTACTTGTGGGGACCTACATCTGTTTACATAGTCACGTGTGGGGACTCGCCTCCCTTATGGGGACAAATTGGAGGTCCCCATAAGAGGAATCATTAATTTTAGGGTGAAGACTTGGTTAGGTTTAGGCATGTGTTGGTTATGGTTAAGGTTAGGATAAGTCTCCAGGAAATGCATGTAAGTCAATGTAATGTCCCCTGAAGTGATGTATACATGGTATGTGTGTGTGTGTGTGTGTGTGTGTGTGTGTGTGTGTACCATCTTTGGTGGTGACATGGCAGATGATGTTGACCTCGTTCATGGGGATCTGCCAGTGGGATTTCTCCTCGCTGAAACTCAGAGCCCGGCTCTCCTGTCTGTTGCACGGGTGAGTCTGAACACGCAGAAACACCGGGCCCTGGAAACACAAAACAACACACACCGTCACACACACACACCGTCACACACCGTCACACACACACCGTCAAGGTACACACACCGTCACACACACACCGTCACAACACACACACACACACACACACACACACACACACACACACACACACACACACACACACACACACACACACACACACACACACACACACACACACACACACACACACACACACACACACACACACACACACACACACACACACACACACACACCACACACACACCACACACACACACACACACACACACACACACACACACACACACACACACACACTAGATTATATATCATGTAATGACGCTCTGCCTTAATCCCCATGAGCAACAAGATGTTGATCACACTGAAGGTTCCCTGTGGAGCTTTTATTGTTAATTGAAAACGAAACGTTGTCCATCATATATTTTTAACGTAAACATTTGGGTGTGTTCTTTAGGAGTAAGGAACCTGTAGTTTGGTTCCCTAGGGCCTAGACAAAGAGCTCGTTTTTTTGTTTATGTTCATGTTTTGTTAGTTAGGATAATCCTCACAAATGAACACTTTGACATTTGAAGCGTGATAGATTGAGTGCATTTTGTTTATACTTCACATAAAACTTCTCCACTGCAGTATTTCTTCTTCAATACTTTATGAGCACACTCACAAAGTATGGAAACCTCACTTGTGTTTGTTTACGGTTGAAATGCAGAGTAACCGTGGTGGTGTAGCGGCTGGATTCAGATCATAAGAATCCTTGTAAACAGTCGTATGATCGCTAGTGAAAGTGTCAAGCGGACACACAACACATAACTCCTAAAATGGCCAACAACTATTTAACAACAACCGTTTACGATGACATTTCTCCAGCCTCTCAGTGGTGGATCTGTGTTGTAGTGCATCTACATATATGGTCACTACTCTGCAGGAAGTGTGTTATCCAACTGCTGCTAAAAGGGGAAGTCAGTCGCTCTAATTTAATATATACTCGTCAGTGAATGTGTCTTTGCACGGCAGAGGGATGAAGGTATATTTTTGTAAAGGGGTATTTATTTGGGTGTCATGTTTGGATGTCAACAACATTTCTACAGAATCGCTGACTCCACCTTTGAAGGAGCATGACCACCTAAAAAGGAAGCAGCGTTTAAGCAAAACAATAACATTTCTAGAGATGGCTTCATCCATTTTAACATGCTGTGAAAACCTCTGGATGAAACTTGATTTAATACTGATTTAGTTCATCCTGATCACAGCCTCCTCTTGAAGAGTGAATATCAGTATTGACAGGGTTTCAATGCCTTCTGGAACATCAAATTCAAGGACTTTTTAAGGACTTTTCAAGGACTTATCAGGCCTAATTCCCTCAAGCTTCAGGACCCAATACGGCATAGTTTGAGACGGGGTGTAAAGGTTATTATTGTTGCAGCACTGATTGTGTTTATGTTGAGAAATAGCAGGATTAAAAATGGCTCGCCGACAACAACTTATCGAAAGAGGCTTGATGTAAGTTATGAGACAGAGACTTATTTAGCTAACGGTTTGATTAACGGTAGATATATGGCTTGCTTTACGCTGTTTAAGCGGCAGGTAGTGTATCATAACTGCAGAAGAAACAAGTGCCTCTATTTACTAAGAGTAGGTTGAAAAAACAACAACTAACATTTCGATTCTTGCAAATAAATGTTTATATATCAAGCACTTTTAATGACCAATGACCTGTTTGTGACCCCTTGTTTTCTGTGCCTTAATCACAAGCTTTCAAGGATGTCATGTCTTCAAGTACCCTTTGTCTATTTCACTACACATGTGAGATGTGGAGGAACCCCCTGGTCTGAGAGTGTGTTACCTCTGTGTTTGTTTGTGTTTAAGAGTGTGTTACCTGTGTGTGCGTGTGTGTGTATGTGTGTGCATGTGTGTGTGGGTGTGTGTCTAAGAGTGTGTTACCTGTGTGTGTTTGTGTGTGTGTGTCTAAGAGTGTCTTACCCATGTGTGTGTGTGTGTGTGTGTGCGTGTGTTACCTGTGTGTGTTATCCATGTGTGTGTGTCTAGTGTGTTACCCGTGTGTGTGTGTGTCTAAGAGTGTGTTCTGTGTGTGTGTGTGTGTGTGTGTGTGTGTGTGGTCTAGCATTACTATACTTGTGGGGACCTAAATCTGTTTACACAGTCACGTGTGGGGACTCGCCGCTCTTATGGACAAGGGACAAAATGGAGGTCCCCATGAGGGACATCATTCATTTTAGGGTGAAGACTTGGTTAGGTTTAGGGTTAGGATAAGTCTCCAGGAAATGCATGCAAGTCAATGTAATGTCCCCTGAAGTGATGTATACATGGTATGTGGGTGTGTGTGTGTGTGTGTGTGTGTGTGTGTGTGTGTGTGTGTGTGTCTGTGTCTAAGAGTGTGTTATGTGTGTGTGTGTGTGTGTTTGTGTCTAAGAGTGTGTTATGTGTGTGTGTGTGTGTGTGTGTGTGTGTGTGTGTGTGTATACCTTGATGTCTATGGGCCGTGTCTCAGTGGGACAGAGCAGTTTTCGGCGAGCGTTCCCAGTCTGGTTGATGGTCCAGTAGCCCGTCATCTTGACCTCTGGCAGGGGCAACCTGCAGATTCAAGGTCACACTGAGTCTACCGCTGCCAACAACTGAATATAACTGAGGTATAAATACACCAATATGTGAGCATTTACACAAATGAATGGCATGTGTGTTAAACAGCGGAGTTCGGAGCTCATTCTGAGGTTTCCCTAATGTTCTATTTTTGCAAAATTGTGGGTTTCCCTGTCACCGCTATGCATCTCAACTTCAAATAAAATGAACTCATCTTCTGAGGGCATTAGCATGGACACCACAAAATGACTTCAGATGGAGGCCGTGTTCTCATTGCATGAAAACAAAAGCTTTAATTTGATCCCAGTCTCTAGAGAACGCCGATGAAATGAGTGTGTGAATGAGTGTGTGTGTGGCTTTGGGAGCCGGCGACTGAAAGCCTACAGAGATGTGTGTGTGTGTGTGTGTGTGTGTGTGTGTGTGTGTGTGTGTGTGTCTCTCTGCTTTCCTTGTTGTGTCTGGCCAGATGTTTACTGGTCTTCCCATGAGTCATAGCTGGATTGCAGCCACAGCTTTATTAACTGCAGGTTTTCGAGCCATAAGATGCAACAACCACAAAAAAACCGAAATCCCAAGCTGAATAAAAGACAGTCGGTCTACTAACCATACATATTTCTGTGATGGAGAAGCAATGCGGTACATAAGAGAAACTATTTCTTGTTTATCCGCGTCCGAAATTGGAAACCAAGAGAGGAACTATTTGCTTTTATGTACACGAGATGTTGTGGGATACAAACAGGGATTCTGAACGACACTAACGGCTCTCTGTGCTCGGATGATGCCTTTTGAAACACAACATAACAGATCATCTACATACAAGGAAAATACTTGTTTCTGCTCTGGTCTCGAGACATGAGAGATCTATGAATCTGGATTTATGAATATGATACGTCAAATAAAACCACAGGAGACAGGAGAAACAAATATTTTCCTTTATTTAAAACACAGAGCTGAGCATGATGAGACAGTTTAGTGGGTATTAGAAAGCTTTCCTTTAGAGGTGAGGTAATGTGAGGATAATTCAACACTTCATGGAAGCCTGAGGTTAATTCAGTCTGAAAGCCGTCAGCCGGGTTCAGGCATTGCAGGATTTCAGTTCTAAAAGTTACTCTAGAAACAACAGGTACTGGAAATACTGACAGTGATGTCAACAACCATTTACTTTAATGGGTTCTTGAAAGCATTTTGGAAAGTTTTGAGGTTAAAAATGATGTTGGTTTGTTGGCTTTTATTTGTAAAATATAGATTTTTGTTAATTTGATTTAAGCATTTGAGTTTTTACGGGTTTCGTGCCCCGAATTACACTTTAATTTGTTATATTTTTAAATGTACCTTTTCTCATATGTAGCTTTTTAGCTCAATGTTGTTTAACTTATAATATTTTGTATTAGTTTATATATTTGTCTGCCATTGCTATTTTTGTCTGGTATCACTCTTTGTAACTTCCTTATAAAAGTGCTATTTAAATAAAGTGTATAATTATTGTTGTTATTAAATAACAATTTATAACAGAAACACAAAATGGAAAATAATCAGTTCTGAGTAAAATAATGTATATAATGTTAAATGAAGCATTATATCGTTCTGTTGTCTGTTAAGATATCAAATAACAAGCTTCTATAGATTTTAATACATTTGGAATATGTTTAAAAAATGATCTCTGATTTACGAACCATGCTATCTTAGTGTTTCAAAAAGATTACCTCCCACTGGTCCCTCAGTGACTACAATCTCTCAGTAGTTATTTGTAAAGTTTTTAAAAATGTATTTTGTTTAGCTGTACTAGCCTATTGTTGAGCATAGCATTGTTTAATTGTAATTAGATTAATTACAGGTACAGTTTGGCCTTCAAGTATCGCCCATATCCTCGATTATCCATCGGCAAACTCTAACCCCTTTCTGACTGGTCTCCAAAAAGGTATTGAGGTAATGGATGTGCCTTTAGAGTGTGTGTGTGTGTGTGTGTGTGTGTGTGTGTGTGTGTGTGTGTGTGTGTGTGTGTGTGTGTGTGTGTGTGTGTGTGTGTGTGTGAGCCTAAAGTCTTGCTGCCTTACTCCTTGGCCAGTTTGACGGAGCTGGGATTGGCTCCAATGGGAATGCCGTGTTTGTGCAGCGCCTCGATCAGAACGTCCCGCGTGTCTTTGTTGTACGAGTCAAAGTCGAAGACGTTTCGCACAACGTTCGCCAAACCCTCGCCGGGAAATCTCTGCGGAGAAGAAGAAAAGGAGGTGTTGGAAAAATCTCACTGGTCACCGTCTTGAACTTCAATCTCAGGATCCATGTGTTTGTGATCCTCTCCAGAATGGAAGCAATCACATACAGAGCATCAAGTAGTTCCTGTCAGTGTTAATATGATGTAGGGTCTTCACCAGAGGGTCCATGCAGGACAGAGTGTGGAATAAAACCTGCTGCTATCTGGAAGGTAACTCATCTCTAGCTTATGTGTTGGTGATATAAATAGATGTTGACAGGTTATTTTTGCCTCAATACGTGTTTCTGTCTTGCACAGTTTCTATGGCGATGAGGTAAACAAAGACAGACGGAAGGCAGAGAAAACGAGAGAGATGCTGTAAACAAAACAGGTGGTGGATCTAAAACATTCAACACGTAGCACAAATACATGTAAAACAACCCAAGAAGAAGTCTCTTAAGACACTGTCAAACACTTTTAGTTGATCATCATACGTTATAATAGAGAGGATTTATTTCTGTAGGACTTTATACACATGAGGTACTCCTAAAAGTGCATGTTGGAGCTTTATATTGATTTGCTATTTAACGGTTAAAGGTCACCTATCATGCTACTTTTAGGCAATAGCAGAGGTCTCAGATATATATATATATATATAAAAACATGTCTATGAAGTGTTTTGCTCAAAATACCAAACAGATCATTCTAGCCGTGCCTCATATCCCTCTATTTCACTTCCTGTTTCAAAAGTGCTGATTTGGGTATAAAGCTTTAAAGAGGAGGGGTCTGAGCTCATGCGGGACCCGGCAGCTACTGTCTAAACTAAATGCTGCCGTGATGAAACGCCATATCATGGATGATCAAGGATTCTCTCTGAAACAGTTTGGAGCTCAAAGGCTTTCTCTCTTGCCGGTTATACCACAAGGTGAGTTCCTTTTTACTTCCTGCTTCTTCACACACATGCTCTCCAGTACAGGTTAGCTCTGAGTGTTAGCGATGCTAATGTAAACACCGACCATATTACGTCCAAAACAATCGGGCATTGTTTTTGATAGCAACGTTTCTGATTGGCCCGTGGGTCCACATTTCAGATATGACGTCATATCGGACGCAAATCTGGATCAGCTCCGTAGTTCCCCGTTTTTAGAGATTTGGGTACGGAGGAAAAGAGAGAGGGTTTTATTTTCTGACGCTGCGTGAGTTCCCTGACACACCGGGGACACATGTTGATGTATAAAAGAGATCAACAAGTGCATTTTGCATGATAGGTCCCCTTTAATCTCTTTATTTTTATTTCTGTTGTACCGATATGTTCACTTTGTTTTATGGGGTTTTATATTTTATATTGTTGCATCGACTCAGTTGTCTTGTGTCTTATCTGTCAGAGAGAAACCATTATTTATTTTAATTGTATTTGTATTATCATACATTGTACCTCCTTGTGTCTATTAACCTGATAAAATGTTATATTTTGCTGCATGTACCTTTTAAAGTTCTTCAATAATCTGAGGGGAATTTCTTGTTGTGTATTTTTAACTTGTGATGTGTCATTTTGTAAAGCACTTTGAGCTGCATGTGTTGTAGGAAAAGTGCTATATAAATAAAGCTTTTGATGAAGCCATATCTAGGAGCTTATATTATTTAATAGTTATCCATTTATTTTATTGTTCTTTTTTGTTTATAGTAAATCTGCCTTTGAATTCTTATTTAAGTTTATCAAATAAGTTGTACTGCCTCTGTTTTAGTAAAGGCAGCCTTTGGGCACCGGGGGAGGGGAGACCTGCTCATTATAAATATGGGAAACAGGTGGTAGTGAGCGGCGCACCCGGTAGGCTTATGGTTTTTTACCATCGGGTAAGAAGGAAGAGAAATGCTTGATGTGTTGATAATAAATTGCACTGAAACGACTTTTGCTCGGACCTTGATTTTTACCCATGCGTAAGATTCGCTGACGGGTGCCTCAGCGGCACTTTGCTTTGCGTTATATTTCTTGCTTATATTTTTATGATTTTGGCCGCTATAGCTTTATTATTATTACATGATGACCAGTGTGTGGTGCTAATTTTGGACGAAAGACTCTCCACTAAATGACCCTGTGTGTGTCCTGTTTCTCCAGAGGTCGATATTGGAGGTGATGGATGACAGAAGGAGGTCAACGGGGAAATCATCCAAACATTTGAATTATTGATCTGCAGCGATGGAGCTCAAATCTTAATCGTCTTTCTCTCCGGGCTAAATACTGTGCACATTTCTAAAGACACATGACCACAATGAGACGTGACAACACTGAATATTAAACGTCAACAAACAAACATGTGTGCCCTTCACACTAAGGAGCTGAAATACATCCTGGTTTCTCCTTTAACAAGTGAAGGCACTGGCAGCGCAATTGTCCATACTGGTATATAGTGTATTCATATTTATACCACTGGCTAAAGTGTCTATATTATACAATCTACATTTCTGCTACCTCTATAGTGTATTCAACATGTAGACCAGTGTTCAAATCTATAAATACTATCCTACTCTATATAATTTAGCTAGTCATATTTACTTTTAGATACATTACACTGCACTTTACTGCTTTTCTTGCACTCGACTACTTTAATGACAATCAAGTTGAATGTAATTTGATCTAAAAGAGAAAACAGCCAGTCTTTAAGAGCCCAGATATTGTGATTTATAACATCATATATGTTGTAATTGTATTTATATCCCACCACAGATGTATTCTTTTTCCATCATTCATCCTCCAGCCTTTTTATTGGATTGCTATGCCTTTTTTTTTTTACACGTTTTGTGTGTGCAACCCAGAGCAACATTCAAAACTCCCTCTTAACATTTGTGTGTGTTTTTCGGGTATATAGGTTTTTCCTCTGCTGCGAGGGTCTAAGGACAGAGGGTTGTTGTAGTCACAGTGCAAAGCCCCCCGAGACAAATGTGTAAACTGTGTTATTAGCCCATAAAAATAAAACGTGATATTGATTCCTTGTAGTTTGCGCTGAGGCAGAAACAGGGTCTCCTCTCTGTCACAGCTGTGATGTGAGGACACTGTCTTGCATTATTAAAGCATCGCAGGATTCACGTTACTGTTATGAATGATTCATGTTTAATATAGTCTGGCAACAAAAACTGGAATAAGGGAAATTCAGTGTTGAAGCGTGGTTTGAGTCTTCTCACCTGGAGGTGCTTCACGATGTTGACCACCTCTCTAGTGGAGTAGGGGTAGGTGATGGTTCCCTGGTCGGCCATCGACCTCAGATCTCCAAAAGCAGACACCAGTTTCTGCAGCGTGGCTTCAGGAACATCCGGACCGTACTGCTTCAACATCGCCAACTCAGCCTGAGGTTTAGGATTATCCACAGCATGGCAGCTGAAAATATCACCTGAAAGTACACACATCCTTTACTCAAGTGGAAGTACACATACTCGTGTTTAAAAATACTCTGGTGAAAGTAGAAGTACTCACTAAACTTCTGTCCTCAAGCAAAAGTAAAGAAGTATGGGCTTTGAAAGTAAAAAGTACCCATAACTAGCAGCTGCTTTAAAGAGTACCTGACCTCCCTTTATATTAATAGAACAATAATGTCATTGTTAGCTAATGAATGTTTCCATGCTGAACACGGCAACATGACAACGTTTCCATTGGTCCCTCTTCTTTAGAGAAGACCAGGAAATGATGGATACACGGATCGTGTTCAAATCAATAGGCACGCAATGACTCTAAAGAATAATGATCACGCACCAAACACACATTCAGACTAAAGGAACCAGCTGTTTGGAAAATGAGAGAAGTAGAAAGTACAGGTATTTGAGTTCAACATGTAAGAAGTAGAAAGTACAGGTATTTGAGTTCAACATGAGAGAAGTAGAAAGTACAGGTATTTGAGTTCAACATGTAAGAAGTAGAAAGTACAGGTATTTGAGTTCAACATGTAAGAAGTAGAAAGTACAGGTATTTGAGTTCAACACAGGTATTTGAGTTCAACATGTAAGAAGTAGAAGTACAGGTATTTGAGTTCAACATGTGAGAAGTAGAAAGTACAGGTATTTGAGTTCAACATGTAGAAGTAAGAAAGTACAGGTATTTGTGTTCAACATGTAAGAGTAGAAAGTTACAGGTATTGAGTTCAACATGTAAGAAGTAGAAAGTACAGGTATTTGTGTTCAACAATGTAAGAAGTAGAAAGTACAGGTATTTGAGTTCAACATGTAAGAAGTAGAAAGTACAGGTATTTGAGTTCAACATGTAAGAAGTAGAAGTACAGGTATTTGTGTTCAACATGTAAGAAGTAGAAAGTACAGGTATTTGGAGTTCAACATGTAAGAAGTAGAAAGTACAGGTATTTGAGTTCAACATGTAAGAAGTAGAAAGTACAGGTATTTGAGTTCAACATGTAAGAAGTAGAAAGTACAGGTACTTTGAGTTCAACATGTGAGAAGTAGAAAGTACAGGTATTTGAGTTCAACATGTAAGAAGTAGAAAGTACAGGTATTTGAGTTCAACATGTAAGAAGTAGAAAGTACAGGTATTGAGTTCAACATGTAAGAAGTAGAAAGTACAGGTATTTGGTTCAACATGTAAGAAGTAGAAGTACAGGTATTGAGTTCAACATGTGAGAAGTAGAAAGTACAGGTATTTGAGTTCAACATGTAAGAAGTAGAAAGTACAGGTATTTGGTTCAACATGTGAGAAGTAGAAAGTACAGGTATTTGGTTCAACATGTAAGAAGTAGAAAGTACAGGTATTTGTGTTCAACATGTAAGAAGTAGAAAGTACAGGTATTTGTGTTCAACATGTAAGAAGTAGAAAGTACAGGTATTTGAGTTCAACATGTAAGAAGTAGAAAGTACAGGTATTTGAGTTCAACATGTAAGAAGTAGAAAGTACAGGTATTTGAGTTCAACATGTAAGAAGTAAAAGTACAGGTATTTGTGTTCAACATGTAAGAAGTAGAAAGTACAGGTATTGTGAGTTCAACATGTAAGAAGTAGAAAGTACAGGTATTTGTTCAACATGTAAGAAGTAGAAAGTACAGGTATTTGTTCAACATGTAAGAAGTAGAAAGTACAGGTATTTGAGTTCAACATGTAAGAAGTAGAAAGTACAGGTATTTGTGTTCAACATGTAAGAAGTAGAAAGTACAGGTATTTGAGTTCAACATGTAAGAAGTAGAAAGTCAGGTATTTGAGTTCAACATGTAAGAAGTAGAAAGTACAGGTATTTGAGTTCAACATGTAAGAAGTAGAAAGTACAGGTAGTGTTCAACATGTAAGAAGTAGAAAGTACAGGTATTTGAGTTCAACATGTAAGAAGTAGAAAGTACAGGTATTTGAGTTCAACATGTAAGAAGTAGAAAGTACAGGTATTTGTGTTCAACATGTAAGAAGTAGAAAGTACAGGTATTTGAGTTCAACATGTAAGAAGTAGAAAGTACAGGTATTGAGTTCAACATGTAAGTAGAAAGTACAGGTATTTGAGTTCAACATGTGAGAAGTAGAAAGTACAGGTATTTGAGTTCAACATGTAAGAAGTAGAAAGTACAGGTATTTGGGTTCAACATGTGAGAAGTAAGAAAGTACAGGTATTTGAAGTTCAACATGTAAGAAGTAGAAAGTACAGGTATTTGGTTCAACATGTAAGAAGTAGAAAGTACAGGTATTTGAGGTTCAACATGTAAGAAGTAGAAAGTACAGGTATTTGGTTCAACATGTAAGAAGTAGAAAGTACAGGTGTTTGTGTTCAACATGTAAGAAGTAGAAAGTACAGGTATTTGAGTCAACATGTAAGAAGTAGAAAGTTCAGGTATTTGAGTTCAACATGTAAGAAGTAGAAAGTACAGGTATTTGAGTTCAACATGTGAGAAGTAGAAAGTACAGGTATTTGAGTTCAACATGTAAGAAGTAGAAAGTAAGGTATTTGAGTTCAACATGTAAGAAGTAGAAAGTACAGGTATTTGAGTTCAACATGTAGAAGTAGAAGTACAGGAGAAGTAGTAGAAAGTACAGGTATTTGATGTTCAACATGTAAGAAGTAGAAAGTACAGGTATTTGAGTTCAACAATGTAAGAAGTAGAAAGTACAGGTATTTGTTGTTCAACATGTAAGAAGTCAGAAAGTACAGGTATTTGTGTTCACATGGTGAGAAGTAGAAAGTACAGGTATTTGGGTTCAACATGTAAGAAGTAGAAAGTACAGGTATTTGGGTTCAACATGTAAGAAGTAGAAAGTCAGGTTTTGTGTTCAACATGTAAGAAGTAAGAAAGTACAGGTATTTGAGTTCACATGTGAGAAGTAGAAAGTACAGGTATTGAGTT